GACCAGTGCCGATTATGTCCTACCAAAAAAGAGTGAACTAGAAATTCCAAAGACACCTACCAGATATAAAGGGAAAAAGCCAATGACCAGTCTACAAGTATTACAGACTACAATAAAGCCAACTCAACCAATCTCACAAAACAAATATACAGTTTTGGCCAAACCAAGTCAAACATTACAAAATCAATCATCTGCATCAACCTAAACAAGAAAATTACCTCAATGGGCCGAACAAATCTACCAAAGACCTATTGAAAAAACCGACCAAATCCCAGAATATTATGAAAAGCCTTATGGATTACCACTTATGGAAATCGAACCAGAATGGTTCAAATTGAATCGTACAGAGATAGCCAAAAGAGTGTTTCCACCAAATTGCCATGTAATTCCATCCTCTTCTGAACAAAAAGGAGAATTTTATGAATTGATTCTCATTGATTCAAAATTAATAGAATTAACTCATAAGAAAAATGAAAAATAAGAAATAATTTTTTCAAAATTCAAAGTTTGCCAAATAATTACCCCAAAAGAATGGGGACAACATCTATATTATTATTGTAGATTTACCATAGAATATCAGCCCATACAATACAATTATTTTGATTACATAAAAGTATGGGAGAAGTTTTTATTTCTTAGACTAGATACCTATTTTTGGTTCATTTGGTTCTGGAAGGGAATTTCTTTACATTTTCTAAAATGGTTTTCTGCCTGGTTCCATAATTTTGGACCAGTCAAGGAAATTCTACCAGAAAAAGCACAAAAAGCCTTTGATTACTTTTCACAAAAAACCAATTTCCAAGATCCTTATAAATTCATTACATTTATTGCCTCCTAAGGCATTTCTTGGATCATGATGTGACAGTATGATTCTGCTAAATTAGAGTATGATTCATCTGTCCAACTATTAATTCAAACAATAAAAGTAAAGTGGTGGGTTAATTTTGATCTTAGCCTACTAGAAAGTACAAAATTAAATCAGTGGTTACAAAATAATGTTCAACGTCCAAAACTTAGTGAAGAAGTTTTGAAAGAGAAGCAAAGTCAAGAGTTCCTTCAACAAAAAGCAATATTTCTAGCTAGTTTGAGTACAGCTGTAAGTAAAGAAGAGTTCAAGAAATTATTGAATTCATATCTCTAGAAGTTGCCAGTATATCTTCTGATAAAGACAATAAAAGAAGTCTTAGTCCAGCAGGAGATGATGACTACTGTCAGGCTTGTGATTTATCATTGAGTGATCTATAATATTTTATACTTGTTCAATGTTAATTGAAGGATTATTTGGTACTGGAATAGATTTAGATGGAGTTTGAAATTATATATATATAAAAAAAAGTGAACAGTACCGTATGAACAGTGCCGAATGAACAGTAAAACCGTCTATGAACAGTGCAAACCGCATACAAACAGTAAAAATTGCGTATGTACAGTGACTGCTGACGTCATCAGTGACATCATCATGACGTCATGGTTGACGTCACATACGCGTACAGTGCGTGCACAGTATTTTTCGACGTGAATAATGCCTTGAACAGTGTTTCCGGCGTGAACAGTAAGACGATGAACAGTGTTTCCAGCGATGAACAGTAAATATTGCGGTGAACAGTAAATTTCAAAAAATTTCTATAAAAAGGGGCTTCACACGAAATTTTCATTTCTTCATTCCTCTCCAAGGTTCTCAAAGGTTTTAAGGCCGTATACTATCATTTTTTCTCATATTAAACCTTCCTAAACTTAGATTTCTTGCTAGATCTGAGATTCTACGTCTATTCTGAGGAATTTGAAGTAAGTTTCTTTAAGATTGAAGCTAGATTTACCGTTCGTTTCTCTTCTTCTTCTCTTTCTCATAGAAGTTCATGGTGTTCTTAGGAGAAACTCCGTTCTAAAGCCAAATCTTCGGTGAATCTTACTATAAAACAAGTAATATTCAGTAGATCTAGTGTGAATCATTATTTTGAGGTAAAGGGAGCTTACTTTAGCCTATAATCTATGTTTTGGACGGTTGATGTATTATTACAAGAAGTTTTGATATGAATTTTGTTAGATCTTTTGAATAAAAATTATTTTCTAAGCTGTAACTGTTGTTAATTGATTTAAAATGCTGAGATTTTGGCTGATCTATTATAAACTTGACTTAGCTGAGCTGTTACAATAATTTTGGCGGTGTGCATCATGCTGAAAAATATGTTTTGCATCGTTATAGAGCCAAGTTACATGTTTAGGTGGGTAGACATGTAACGATAAGTTCATGCTGAGCTGTTGTGCTGTGCTGTCTGGATCCAGATACCAGAATGGGTCACTCCCGAACCGGCTCGGTTCCTTCTGAATTACTTAGGCTGTGAAACCAGTTGGAAATCGTTTTCATGTTGTGCATTAGATGGGCTGAAAATGCATGGGGCTATTGCTGTGAGAAATATTTTGCTCTACATATATGATTTTATTTTATTTTTGTAAGCTCACCCTTGCATTTCTTTCTATGTCGTTGTGTGAGTGTGTACTGCGATGATTGTACGGTGGTACGTGAGCAGATGTAGCAGGTGTTGCATTTACTTCACAGGCTGAGGGGCCAGTGAAAAAATGTTAGAAGCTGGGGTCGAGTAATATTGCATCAAAATCCTTTTTCCCTTATATTTTAAGACCTCATGTAGAGGGAGCTATATAGTATAATTTTGGGTATTTTGAATATTATGAACTAAATGTAATATTATGTTATTCTGTTAGATATTTGTTGTAAGAAACTTTATTTTATTTTGAATGAGAAGAGAATTTCATACTTATATTCTCTATTATTTATTTATCTTAAATAAGTATGTGATGTACAAACAATGTTCTCAGTTCCTTACAAAAAAAGGTCGTGACAACTACGACTATTTTGACAATGAAGACGAATGCTATGAAATTTCTTTGTAGCAAAATCTAACAAAAAACAAAAGTAAAAGACAAAAGACTTGACAAAGCAAAAGAAGAAATTATTTTCAAAAGAAGATTTGACAAAAGCAAAAGAAGATTTAACAAAAGAAGGAATTATAGCCAAAAAGAATCTAACAATAGTAATTTTTGTCCTATAAATTGTAAGCTCTACTTCATTTGAAAGCATGAGCAAAAATACCAGCCTTAATAGTTCTAAAAAAAACCTTTTGTTGTAAAGTTTCAATTTCTTTCTCAAAAGAATTTACCAGAAGTGTAACAACAAAATTGTAAGTTTTATTACAGTTTTCAATATATATATATATATATATATATATATATATATATAATTATCATCATGTTTTTTTATCATATTTTTGAAATTAGAACATAACATCGATCTTCATTACATATAACAACTATTTAAAAATTTTACCCACACAAAATTTATATCTTTAATTTGTTGATGTAACCTGCATATAACTACAAACACATAATTATTGTTACGTTGTTATTAAATTATTGTAGTCTTTGTTATTACGTTTATTTTTTTACGGTTGTTATTATCAATATTTTACCACCACTTCAATATTATCAAATTATATTAAACAAAAAGTAGCAACAATTTGTATGGTTTAAATTTAAATTTTAAAGCCATAAAAAATAAATTATAAAATAAAAAAATGCTTTAAATTTTTTTAAAATATTTAAAACTTAAAATTAACAATAATCTCAAACAACTTTGTATCTAAATTTAATTTTTTTAGCAAAATTTAATTAGTCATAAAGTCATTTTATAAAATTTATAAAAAGACTATAAATTTTTTTGGTTTAGTTCTTATATTTTAACCTATAAATAAGGTTGATTTTCAAATTTCAAATTAATTAATTAATAACTTTCGCAATACATAAATGTTTCATTTATATATATATATATATATATATATATATATATATATATAAGTCAATAGTCAAAGATGAAGAAAATTTATATTTTATTAAATTAAATAATAATACATTAAAAGATAAAACTATTAAGATTTCTAAAAAACCATTATAAAAGTATACTATCATATATCTTAAAATCATAACATTGTTATTTGTTATCAAACAAATCACACGGATAATCACACAAATAAAGTGGGGCACACGTGGATAACATTTTACTTACTTAGTTCTAAAAAAATAAATCAATAACAAAGCAAATTAATATTACATTACTATTTGAGAGTAGCTCAATATAAAGTTTGAATATTAAAATTAAAATTTTAAATTTATGCTTTGCTAACTTTGTCATGGTTTTATCATATATTTAAAATATGTAATTACAAAAAAATTTCAGTTGTATAATTTTATTAGGTCATTAAAATATTTTAAATACAAAATCCAAAAGCTAAGTGAGTTGAAAATAATTTTGTTTATTTAATTATAAAATGATTTTTTCAATATGAAATAACCATAAAAATTAATGTGAATACACTTTTTTTTTTCACCTTCAATCGTTACACAACACACATACAAGCACTCTCCCATGTACATTTTTATTATATTTATGTACATTAGAATAAAAAATTAGACAATATTATACTATTTTATGTTTTCTATTTTAACACCTTTTTTATAAGATAAAATTTACATTAAGAAGAGATAAAGTTAATACATAAAATAAACTTATTATATTTCATTGATTAAATATATATTTAAAACAAACAAAAAAACTAATGTTATTCTATTACCTTGTTGATTATCACAAATTGATTAAAATTAATTTACAATAAGATACAGTGATTTGATGATTTATTCATTTCTTATTTAATGGGTTTAATTATCGTTCAATGGTTACACTTATTTATAAGGCAAATGATAATCATATAATAAATATGTATATTTTATAAATTAAACAAGCGATAAAGTAATGATTGATTTAAAGAGATAAATAAAAATTTGTTGCGATAATATTATATCACTGTATCTGCATCAGTAAAGAACATACTCGAAGATAAAAATCGTGTTGAATACAATAGCTCCTCAAATTTTCTCTCGTTTCATAGGGAAATAGAGCGCCATAAATTTATCTAATAGACTAATACAGTGCCAGACTCTGAAAGTTCCTCCTTGCTCTGAAACGTTCTTCTTCCCTAAACGATTCATGGAGGTTGGTGAAGTTTACTCCTTCTCTTTATTGTTTCTTAAATACTTGTTTTAGTCCTTCATTTAAACCTCTGCGAACTCTACACTGTATTGCTTCGAGATCATCTCTCTGTGATTTCTGCTGGGAGTGAATTAGGGTTGGTTCGAAATGCTGATTTTCCATTCAACGGCGAAAAGCTCTAAATTTCTCCGCATTGCATTTTGGTTAATTTGGTTTGCATTTTGAGCAATCTTCCTAACAGTAATACCAGTCAGAATGCGCGTTCCGTTTCTCTCAATTTTAGGGATCAAGTAATAAAAGGAATATGCTTAAGTTGCCTTGGGATGACGAGAAGCGACCACGCTATAACATATTCATATGTTGTGCATGCCATCACTGTTTTTGCATGCGCAAATTTTATTTGTATTTTTTTAAATTATCTTATTCGTTTTCAATCTGTATTGGCAAGGTTTGAAAGGTCTATGTAGGTTGGGATAATTTGTCCAATGGAGATTGATGTATCCCTAACAAGTAGACGATTATTTATTTATTTTAGTTAGTTGCGCTAGTTTTGAGATGAGTGTTTTTCCCTTGCACTACTTGAAAAAACAGAGATTTTATTTTATTTTATTTTAATTGGTGGATAATAGTTCCAAAAAATGCGTCTCATCTCATCCCGTTGTGGCCGCTTAACACATGTTACTGTTATTGCTTTATTTGCTTCCCCCAACTCTGACTTTAAGCTTAAATTGCTGTATTTCAATTGATTATATCTTTTCTATTGTCGTTCTCAATTGGTGCTATGCTTTGTTTCTCATATCAGGATGAAGTTTGCCACATGCCAAATGACATCTGTTTCTTTTGTAAGTTGGTTTCTGTGTCCCTATATTACTGACTGAAAGTATTATTCTGTAGGCATTACACGCCACCATGATCTGCTGAATAAATGGCGAGTGGTACTCGTTCTAGTCAGAGGGCCAAATACGAAGAAAATAATAATAACGGTAGGGTGACGCGAAGTGGCGAGAAAGGAAAAGTAAAATCACATCCTAATGTGTCAGATACAGCTGATCTCAGAAGGTCCCCTAGGGTAACATCATCAAAGAAGATAATTCCAAGCCCTTCGCGTACTCAAAAGTCTGAGAGACTTGAAAAGAGAACACTGCCAACTCCTGCAGCTAAAAGAAAATCTGTAAGGGTTGATATAAAGAAAATGCCGAGTCCTTTGAGGAGATCTGGAAGAACTAGGAGTCATTCTTCTTCCAGTCCTTCAGATTCTAAAAGCTCGGGGTCACTGAGTTCTGAGCAAAAGCCAAAAAAAGAGAAGAGTGTGAGACAGTTGACATTTGAATCTAAGGAAGTCATTGAAAATGAGGAACATGATTTGGGAACTTCCCATGTTAAAGTAAAGAGAATGGATGCTCGAACTTATCGGTCTCTCTTTCAATTGCCAAAGAAAGGTAATATAGTTAGTTTCCTATTGTTGTTCATATTTCAACAATTTTTTTGTTCGTTATTTAGCCATGGGCTTTGTTACTTATCCAAATGTAATGAAAAGCAGTGCTAATTTTGATGTTTAATGTTACGTGCACCCATTATGTTGTAAAAAATATAGTTAATGGTGCTAGTAATGCTGTGGGACTTTCTTCAAGTCACTTGCCAGCTTGTTTTTTGTTTACTAATCCAAATGAAGAAAAGTGAGAGTTTTGCTGGGTGAGATTGCCAATTATTGTTAGTTATTATTTATATTATCTATTATTTTTTATTTGCTTGAATTTTAGATTGCCTTGCAGAGCCAAATAAGATTGATAAGTCAAATCAAGAAGGTGACGGCAATAGCGGAGGCAAGATTAATGAGTGCTCAAAAGAGAGTCATTCTGATAGTAAAGAAGGCTACAAGAATGGTATGCTACCATCTGAAGGTGCCAAAGCAAAAGAGATGAGAGTTGACTCTGGGTTGAGCATGCCTGTAAAAGATATAGTAGAGAATAATGCAACTCCAGTGGTACCATCTAATGCCGCAACTTATGAGCCTGATTGCTGCAGAGAGGAAACATCAGAGATGTTAGCGTCAAAGAATTCCATATTGGATGAAGATACAGTCAGGAATGGTGTTGGACATGATATGTGTCAAAAATCGGTACCTTCTAGGAGTAAGGGAATCATGGTGGACATTGATTCAAATGTTTCTGCCACATTGGCTGAGGGTGACAAATGCAACTTGATTCCTGAGGGTAGCCCCTCAATGCTAGATGGCAATATTATGGGGATTGATGGGCCATCTAATGCTGCAACTGATGAGACTGGTTTGGTATCTAAAAGGGTTCAGCCTGATTGCTGTGGAGAGGAAACGATACATATGTTAGCATCAAGGAATTTCATCTTGGATGAAGATTTAAGCAAGAACAGTGTTGGGCCTAATAGGGGTGAAAAATCAGTACCTTCTAAAAGAAAGGGAATCACAGAGGATAATTATTTAGATGTGTCTGTCACATTTGCTAAGCCTGACAACTGCAACTTTATTCCTGATGGTGGCTCTTCAAGGCTAAATGGTGATGTTACGAGGTCGTGTTCCAAACGAATAAGGTACTTGTTAATCGTTGGCAAATGATGAAACACAATGTCACATATCCCATTATTCTTGAATTAGAATGAAACATCTCTTTTATTATATTTTTTCTAGTGTATTTTCAGATTTGTGAATCATGATCAAGTGGCACATCTCTGTTAGATTGTGTTGTAGTCTAACATGCTGGTTTTGAAAGGTGTTTGGTATTCTTACCAGTTATTACGAAACTGATTTCTCCTTTACCATTAGTCATCTGCAGCGCTGAAGTGTCCCTATGGCTTCTATTCTCCAAACCCTTACTAATACTATATTTGATTGCAGAAATATGTGGGAGTATATTGATTGAATCTTTTGCAGGAATCACAGCATCAGTATCTTATATACATTGATCTGTTCATGATGATTTACCAGCATTTTGTTGTGTGTTTTCAGGCCTAAATAATTGGTTCTTTTATTTGCAGGTTGGATTATAATCCTACAGTCAGTGAGTCTTTTAAACCTTCTGAAACTGAGGTTGGTTGGTTCCTTCACCCTCCTCATTGATAATGTAATTCTGTGACCTTCTACTTGGTTTCTGTAAGAAGTTATCTGTAACTGAAGCAGTTAGCTTCTGTTGGAACTTGGAAGTTAGGATTCTTTTTTATGAATAGAATCAGTTAGTTGTTAGAAATTAAAAGGGTGTTGTTCGGTAGTTATCGCCAACTGCACTCAGATCAGACTAATAATATCAGAACACAACTCAGAGTTCAATTGTTACAACATTCTCATGATTGCAAGAACTCTTTCTCTGAATTTCCCTGTCTGATCTTTCTAATTTCTCTTTACCTTTCTTTCACCTTCTGTCATTTCTTTTATTTTCGTGAACCTGTCCAACAGTAATACAGTATCAAGAGCTTAATCGATCCTAGTCATGGCTTCTTCTGGCAACCCAACCCCCATTCAGTGTTCAGTTATAATAACATTTCTTACAATTACGAAGAACTGTCTCCAAATATCTCTGTATTTTTCTTTCACTTTCTGTCATTTTCTCAAGCCTGTGAAACACTAATTGATCATCATTCCCCTCCCCCTCAAATTCCTTAAATTTTGTTGAAAAAAGGCCTTCAAGCTCAAACAAATTAACATCTAGTGTGCATGTGGGCCTCAAAGTTGTATCTGGTAAAACAATACTGATGATAGAGTACAGATTAGTAATTAATTAACCATGCTCTGGCACCCTAGCAAAACAACCTGTTTCCTTACAGAAATATTTTAAAACAATAGCTTTTAGCAACGTGTTTTAGTATATACTTATGCATGTCTGTATATAGATTTTATAATGTTTGTTTAATTTTATCTGTAGTTAAAGTCTTTTATCTCTTGTATTATGTGTTTTTGTCATTAGCTGTGGGATGGAAATGATGCTGATGCAAACATGCTGCAGAAGGATTTTCCTGCTAGTTTACTAGCAGATGCTGCTAAAAATAGATGTGTAATTTGCAAGAGAGAAGGGCAGTTACTGTGAGTACACTTTTTACTTTGGTTGGCATGTTTATCCAAATATTGATTGTCAATCTTGTGTATTGAATTCTGTTGAAATTATGCAGTTTTTGGCATGGAGGGAGGAGAATGAGAGAAAATAAACTAAATGAGATTAATATTGACTTGATATGATATGTTAATAAAACCTAGAGCTCTAACTGTTATTTATACTAATCATAATCCTAACTAAATAGGAAACAAATCATGAGATAAGGAAATACGGTAACTAATTCTAAGAGATTATGAGGAAATAGGAAAACGATTGCTAAAGGATACTCTTATCTCGCGGTAACAAAAATATATTGTTCTGAGATATATCAAGATTCAGCTTTTGGTTCATATTTTGTCAACATATGGTCAAATATTGGATATTTTCATATTTTCTAACACCATCATTTAGAATTCAATACATTGGTGTGTGTGGAACTAATACTTTTGTCTGTCATTATTTTTTTTTCCTTCCAATTACCCTTTCCTATGAAACATCCACCTTTTTTAATTCATTTAAGTGACATTAACTAAACATAGTACTCTCTCCGGTCTTTTTTATAAGAACTTTTTGAAGATTTTTGTTGGTCCTCAATATAAGATGCTTTACAAAGTTTTAGGGACATTTATTATTTTTCGAATGAGGAAGGTTGTGTTAGGCCATCACCAACCAACATAAAATTTGTTGAAACTCGTGTTATTATTTTTCACATATTTTTTCATCATTATTAAACCTTTCTAATTTCTTAATAAATAATATAATTATAGAGTTTGACTTTAATTGGGGGTATATTTGGAATGCTATTTTTAAAAAATAATACATCAATTACTTACGACAAATTTTTTAATTTGTGTGATTTAGTTAAAAAGGGTCTTGTAAAAAAGGATTGGAAGGAGTAATATATTGGCTTTTGGTTCATATTGTTAAGAAATTTGGTCTTAATTTACTTCGAAAAGCTAGTTCATATAAAGAGGACTACCCTACCCTAATCAATGTGAAATATTTTAACATACCCCTCTCAAGCTTAGGACTAGATATCTGGTGCGTGAAATTTGCATGACTAAATATCTGTACGGGTGGAATCCAACAGGACTGGACATTTGTGGTAGCTTAACATTCAAACTAGATAGTCTCTTAAGCCATGTTAAGAAACTTGAGCCTAACTCAATCCCAAAAGCTAGTTCATAGGAGGAGGACTACCCTAGCCCTTATAAAGAGTATATTGGCTTTATTCCTGACTAATATGGACTTTGATACCATGTTAAGAAACTTGGGTCTAACTCACTTTTAAAAGTTAGTTCATAGGAATAGGACTACTCTAGCCCTTATAAAGAGTATACTGGCTTTATTCCTAACTAATTTGGAACATCTTAACATATATTTTGGCTAACCCATATTCAGGTGCTCCAGCCTTTTGTTGAGTTGTGAATTTTGACAATTTTAATTTTTTTCTTCGCTTGGTTTTACTTTTCCTTGGGTCCAAATTCCTTGGCTTTTAAGTTATCAGCCCATTCTAGTGGCCAGTTCGTTGTACCTGGATATACTCCAGTTTTTTTGGCAGGTGAAACCTCAACTCTAGCATGGCTGGCCACTGGTTTGACTGGTTGAACAAGTTCCATTTTTTGAAAATATGAATGTTTCTCATTGTGCATTGCTTTCCTTAGACCAACGAATATCACTGCATGATTTATGTCTATATTATGTTTAAAGTGCATGTATTTGTTCTCTAATCTCAGACTGGACTCAATTTTGCAGGTATTGTGGTGGAAAAGAATGCAATGGATGCTACCATCTCTCTTGTCTTGAACCTCCCCTGCTGGATGCTCCCCTTGGAGTTTGGCATTGCCATTTCTGTGTGAGAAAGAAGATTGATTTTGGTGTATATTCAGTGTCAAAGGGAATAGAAGCAATTTTTGATGTCAGAGAATATTCATCTTCAAATGTTAATGGTAAAGTAATAACATATCACCATTTGACCTGTTCTCATTGATTTCCTTATTATTTTGAAGCTCATCTGTATTTTCCCTTACTGCCTATATATGGTGCATACTCTGGCAACTAACATTGTCGATTAAGTGGTAACTCTTTTATACATTGCAGTTCAGAAGGAATTTCTTGTGAAATATATAGGCCTTGCCCATGTTCACAATCGTTGGGTGCCAGAAAATCATTTACTTCTTGAAGATCCTTTGATGCTTACGAAGTTTAATCAGAAAGATCAGGTTTTTTTTTTTCAAATTTTTAATCTTTCCTTTTGGATATCATGTTAAGAAAATCAAACTTTGTGGTTTTTATGCTGGAATGAGTATATAGTGCTGAGAGTTTCGTTGATTCAGACCCTACAGTTGAAACCAGAATGGAGTTTACCCCATCGTCTGCTGCAGAAGAGAGCGTTAATCCATGGCAAACAGCATGATAATCACAGGAATAACTATGCTGTTGATTATTTTGAATGGCATGTGAAATGGCGTGGTCTTGGTTATGAGCATGCTACATGGGAGTTGGACAATGCTTCTTTTCTTTGTTCACCTGAAGGGAAGAGCTTAATCAGAGGCTATGAAGGGCGTTTCCAGAGAGCAAAGAGAATTTCTTGTTGCTCCAAATTAGATAAGGTGCCTCAGACATATGATTATGATATGACAAGTCTGTTAAATTGTAGAATGAATCATGAATTTGAAGGCAGATTTTCCGTAGGATGAATTAGCTAGTATTCATGATTAATGTTAATAATTGCATGAAATGCATTTTCTACTTATGAAAACATGATACGATAATTTAAGTAGTATCAAATATCAATATTCAAAGCCAAATATCTCATTAGTATCCAAAAGTTATAATAAGTGTAAATTCTAAAATAATTAAAGATTCAACTCATATAGTAGGTTGATTTCAATTTTAAGAGCACAAATCACTCTTTTGTAATCTATCATCATTTAACCCCAGATATTAGGGTAGGGGACCATAGCCAATGAGATAAAGGATGAGGGCAATAGATTCTGGGTTTAAACTTTAAAGAGCTGAGAAAAGGGTGAATTAGGAGGTTGGTTTTATTTATTCTGAATTTATAGGCATATATATTTTTTATTACAATTTCCTGTTATATTTAAATCTATAAATGGTGCCAGTACAAGGGAAAGTTCTGCCATTTTCCCAGTTGGATTGTGCAATACCCTGGCTTCAAATTGTGGATCCTGAATCAATCAGATTGTAATAGAACTGACTCTGGTGCTAAAAGATTTAGCTTCTGATTCAAGATTTAATAGATTTCTTGCATTCTTAATGAATCGGTAAACAAGATAGCTGTGGTCAATTAACATGGCCCAAACAAAAATAAGCTTAGCACGCACCATAAAGTTATGCTATTCAATCTTCATATTAATTTTATAATTGAGCATAACATGGGATTTGATCCTTGATTTGTTCTTTATATTATTTATTTCTACCTGATTAAATTATAGTTAAGTTCCCTGATATTCTTGCTTTTGTAAATTCACCTCAATCCTGATTGGTCTTTTTTGGCTTCATTTCAACAATCTGCAGAAAATAGACCGGGGAAATTCTTTTAATAAGTTATCCCAGATGCCTGGTGGAGTTTCTTCTGGATTTCGTAACAACAATTTGGATGCAGTTAACAAACTACGTGAGCATTGGCACAAGGGTCAGAATGCTATGGTGATTGATGACCATGTAAGCATGTCTAAGCTTTTTACTTGTGCCTTTCCATAGATTCATTTTGGTTTCATTAATTCTGATTTGGTGTTTGATTATGATAGTCTTTGATAAAACAAAAACCAGAAATAGGCAAACTCCAATTATATAATAACAGGTATTATTGGATTTGAAAAGAAACAAAAAGAGAAAGGGAAAACTGGCTACAGAGTATAAGCATTTTCCAATAAGGGTTCTCCCCAGAACCTATGCTCTCCTAGTAGAAAGAGAAAAAAGTTCTCTATCCAAGTAACAAACAGCAAGAAACTACCTGAATGCTTTTGTTTCCCCCTGCCTGAGTTCATAAACCTTGTGGCCTAACTAACTAGTTTTTAATTTTACATCATTGCCCTTTTCCTCATTACCTACATTCTTGTATTACCACCTCTTAGACCCTTGCATACACTTTCAAACTTATGGGCACTTTATCCGTAGATAAGCTGACTTGCTCCTCTTTATGGGCCCTTTACACTGTGAAACCATGTGGCCTAAATAATTAGTTGTTTAATTTTCCTTTTCGTTTTGCTATTTAATCAGATATGTCTGTTAACACTTATTTGATTATATTAAGATTGTGCTGTATCTTTTTTATTACATGATCTGAATTGGTGACTAATTTGAAATTGTGTAATTTGGTTTTTTTAGAACTAAGTGACTGCCTATAATGAGTTTCAGGACCGAATTTTGAAAGTGGTTGCATTTATCTTATCGTTGCACTCTGATACTTATCAACCTTTCCTCATTGTCTCAACTGATGCTTCTCTCCAATTGTGGGAGGATGAATTTTACCGGTTGGACCCATCTATAGATGTTGTTATTTACAATGGAAACAGAGAGATTCGTAACAGTATTAGGAGACTTGAATTTTACGATGAAGGACATTGTATACTCTTTCAAGTGCTCATAGTTGTTCCTGAGATTCTCATTGAGGTATGTTCAAGAACCTGGTTGCTGATATTGACGGGGTTTGTTAGTGTTATTTGGTTATGGATTGATCCTCAGAAAGCAGTGGGCCCTTGGATGAGTTGTCTCATTGATTGATATGTATTTATGTTTGCCTTCGATATTTTGTGCATTTTATCTTCTTTCATGAAATCATAAAGTGATGCTTGTCAACTTACTTTGTTAATCTACAGGATATGGATGTTTTAGGGGACATAGAATGGGAAACAATTATTGTTGATGAGTGCCAATCCCCCAAAATCTCTTCTTATTTCAAACAAATTAAGATGTTAAACACACATTTGAGAGTTCTTCTTTTGTATGGCCAACTAAAGGTTTGTTTTTTTTTTTAATGCTTAGGTTTCAGCTTCTCTCTCTACCCAACCTTATTTTGTTGCCAACTTGCCATATGTAATCCTACTGGGTTTTGCAGGATAACATTGATGAAAACATTAATATTCTTGCTCTTCTTGATTTTCAATTTGATACTGAAAAAGAAGATGGTTTGATATCCAAGTCCAATAACTATGTTGTTCAACTGAAGCAGAGGTTGTCAAGGCATATTGTGTACAGATGCAAGTCTGACTCCTTTAGATTTGTTGAGTATTGGGTTCCTGTACAGATATCTCATGTGCAGCTTGAGCAGTATTGTGCCATTTTACTTTCAAATGATTCCATTCTTCGCTCATCATCAAAGATTGATAGTGTTGGGGCTGTTCGTGATGTTCTTATTTCAACCCGGAAGGTTAGGTTGTACTTTGCGAATAATTTGCATAGATGACATGAGATTAAATGCAATATAAATTTGGTTTAGGTTTAGGATCTAGCTGTTTTATGCTGCAATATTTGGTTGCACCATCTTAATTAATTTGCATTTTTTTTCATTAGATGGTTTGTGGTAAACTGTTTATAATTCCTTATTAGTATGGGGTTAAATATTTAAAATTTCAAGTATGGCATATCAATTATAATTGATTTGATTTGTGCTTAATTCATTAATAATCACATTCGTGTTAAGTTGAATCTGTTTTTTAGTTAAAAATCTTCTTGTGTATGTGATATGAAGCTGATATGGTATCTAACAGAATTAAATGGATATAATAAACTATTTTGTTTTTTAAAGTTGTTAGGTGTTCCTTTACAACCCCCCCCCCCTTTTTTTATCAATTCCATAGCTGTCTAGTGGTTGTCAATTTTCTTAATGGTTTCATTTTCTCATTGTGTTACCTCTTGACAGTGTTGTAGTCATCCCTATGTTGTTGATCCGGATCTGCAACCTTTTCTTAACAAGGGTCTTGAACCAGTTGGGCTTCTGGATGTTGGAATAAAAGCATCTGGCAAATTGCAACTTCTTGATTCAATGCTCATGGAGTTAAAAAAAAATGGTTTAAGGGTACTCATTCTTTTTCAGGTACACATGACTATCTTCCCAATGCATCATCTATAAGTTTCTTTACCTTTGTAGTTACCAATCCTGAATTATGACAAGGAGAGGCTGGCCTAAAAAAAAAGCTATAGCAGATGTCCTCGATGCTATATATTAATTGGGTGTCGAACATTGCAATGGAGCAAAAAAATTGATGGAACTAATAGATGAAAACATAATACATTAGATACATTAACAAAGACCAAAGGAGTTGAAAAAAATGTGATTATTTCACTAAATTAAGTGAAATCAAACACAAACTTGTTACATTTAAAATTTTTTGGCTACTAAATGTATTTGATCTTGTATACAAATTTGATATGTAATCTTTGTTTAATTCTCTTATCCATTGTGCTTGTATACCCAAAATTATATCTTTTATTGTAGAATTTGGGAGCTTGAGGTTAAAGAAGCACTGGGGATGATGGTAAATGACAAGGCAATTGGACCAGATAATATACCCATTAAAGTGTGGAAAGGTCTAGATGAGAAAGGTATTAGTTGACTCAAGTTGTTTAATGAGATTATGATTTATGAGGTCCAAGAAAATGCTGGAAGAGTGGAGTAGTACTCTAAACCCTATTTATAAGTTATATAAACAAAATTGTGGACGTTATTAGGGGATAAAGCTCATGAATCACGCTATGAAATTATGGGGAAGGATAATTGGAGATTTAGACAAGAGACACACATTATAGAAAATTAATTTTGATATATGCTTGGGAGGTCAACCATGGAAGTAAAAGTTGAAGTAACATTTAACAGAGACATATTAGAGTGACCAAAAAAATGTACATCTGGTCTCATTGACTTAGAAAACTATGGTCAGGTGCCAAGAGAGGTTTTTTGGAAGGTCCTAGAAAAGAAATGAGTTTGTATTGCATATATTTGAGCAATTAAGAATATGCATGAGGGGGTCACAACCAGGGGGAGAACATAAAATAGGGCCACAACAGATTTTCCTTTAACCATAGGATTGCATGAAGGGTCTCTTTAGTCTAACCTTAGTATTGGGTGTCCTTGCCTAGCTTATCTATGAGCCAGTGCTGCAATGCATGTTGTGAAGATGATAGAGTTCTAGTTGGAGAAACGAGAGTAAACAAATCTAAAGTTAAAGATCAGGAGATGAACTTTGGAAAATCATGACTTTTGCTAAATAGAAGCAAGATGGAGTATATGGAATGTAAGTTTAGCAACAAGACAACAATCCAAGTATAGTGGTAAAGCTTGCAAAATACCTTTAGTCACATGGTAAGAATGAATACATTAGAGAAAAATTTAGGATGACACTTATTGTTGACCTTGAGTGGTTAGGGTGGGTGTTAAAAAAGGCCTGTAGAACCCCCCCAATAAGGAGAGTAGATTGGATTGATGGTAGCCCAGTTGCTAGAGGCAGCGGGAGACAAAGAAACTATATACAAAACAGTTTAGAAGGATTTAGAGTTCAATGGCTTGTCTATAGAGATGATTCTCGACTGAATATTGTGTCCTTGTTTAATTCATGTAGCTAATCCCTGATTGGGAAAAGACTTGGTTGTTGCATATGCTGTGTTTATAAACAAATTTGATTTGATGTGATAAGTTGTATACAAAATTTAAATAATATGTTATGTGCTCTGAATATGATAGCATTAGTATAAAGTTGGTTCCATTATTATTATAGAAGTAGGGGTGTTAGCTAGATTCAAGAACAACTGTCTTTTATTTTAGTTGTCCAAAAATAATCCTTTAAACACCCACACATATGACGAACTGTTGATGGCTAGAACCATCACTGCTTCCTCTTATGCATGAACCACCTCCTTTGTACCTTGCTCATTAAGACCCTTGACATCAATTTCCTCCCAAAGCACATTGCTGATTGCCCTCACTTGTGCAGCTCAATTGCTTCAATTGGCTCGCTGATTCTTTTTCCCCGTCCGTGTGAATCATGATATGATTCTGATTAGAGTTAAGAGCAAGGATGATTTTTTTATCTTTTTGCATATTTTGGTAGTCTCAATTTTTCTTCTGCTTTCATTAGTTATGGAATATTGTTTGGGATTATGAGTGTGGACAATCAAAAAGCATGGGAATAATTATTTATTGATAGATACAAATACAATCTCACTAAGGCCTGGAGGTTGATTTTTTCTGTTTGTTATGTTCTAATTATTTTCTCTAATTTTCTCACTTTTTGTGTGTGTGTATTAGTACATTTGACTGCGATGCTCCCCTTTCTCTTATATCTCATTATTGAGTTGTGTTAAATTGTTTTTGAATTTGCAGTCTATTGGAGGTACTGGACACAGCAAAATAGGAGATATTTTGGATGATGTATTGCGACAAAGATTTGGTAAAGATTCTTATGAACGGATTGATAAAAGCCTTGCACAATCCAAGAAGCAAGCTGCCATGAAGATATTTAATGATAAGAACACTGGACGATTTGTCTTTTTGTTGGAAACGTGTGCTTGTCTTCCAAGCATCAAATTATCATCAATTGATGCTATTATTATATTTGATAGTGATTGGAACCCAATGAATGATATAAGATCCCTTCAGAAGATAACACTTGATTCACAATTTGAATTGATAAAAATATTTCGTTTATATTCATCTTTCACTGTTGAAGAAAAAGCCTTAATCCTTGCTAAGCAAGATAAGACACTTGACATCAATTCACAAAACTTAAACTGGAGTACCAGTCATATGCTGTTGATGTGGGGTGCATCTTGTTTATTTGATGAATTGGAAGTTTTTCATGATGGTGAAACTTCTCAATCTAGTTTGAAATCCTTGTTTGGACGACCACTTTTGAAAGATGCAATGCATGAATTCTCATCCCTTCTATCTCTGGATGGGGAAGATATCAACATCACCTGTTCAACTTTATTGAAAGTAAAGCAAAAAGGGGGAACATACCATGCAAATTTTCCTTTGCTTGGTGAGCAAAAATATAGGTTATTGGATGAAGAGTCACCCCAATTTTTTTGGACAAAACTTTTGGAGGGAAAACAGTTTCAGTGGAAATACATAAATAGTTCATCCCAGCGGAATCGGAAGAAAGTTCATCCTTTTGATGGGTTAGTAGATGGGTCAGATCTTGTAAGTGAAGGCACAGCAAAGAAGCGCAGGAGAGTGAGCAACAATATTGTTGATCCGCCTTCTTCAAAATATGAAGGTGAAAAGTTATCCACTGGAATCAAGGCAGGTTGGTAGTCAAGTTTGTTTCTTTCATTTTGTTATGATCTTTCATTGTTCAATGAGGCTGACAAATAGTAAGAACTATTGTGGCCTTTTTCCTTTTATGATAACCTCTGAAACCATTGCCTACTTTTGCAGGAGCATCTGGAGATATAGTGGGTAATGGTAATGCCTCTCCATTCTTGCTTTGTTCAATGACTTGTGTTGGTAATCCATTTCATGTGATTGGCAATCCTTACTCAGTTTGTTTGCTTGATCAAATGTCAGATAAATCTCAAGGTAATGATGTTGAATCTCAGCAAAAATGCAGACAGCGTGATGAGCAGAGGGGCTTGCATCTTTTGCTGAAGCCAGAGATCAGAAAGCTCTGTGATGTTCTTCTTCTCCCAGTATGCCATGTGTTTTCTCTTTGACAAAAGTTTTACTTCTATTTGTTGTCCTGTTCTGGTCCTTTACCCTGGATAAGTTTGCATTTTAATTACCAAATTGTTTGTGTTGATGAAATGTGCTTGTGTACAAGTATTGGCAATTCAGCAATATTACTTGGCGTAAAAGGCCTTAAGAATTCTGTTGACAAGATATTGTTCTCCTGTTGAAATTCTGATATTAGGATAGATTAAAAATATTCCTTAATTTTGGTGATGCTATGCGGTGGCACCTATGGCAGACTTATAATGATGTGGGAATCAAGAGCCACTGATCTGAAATTGAGAAGGCTGAGGTCGAAGTGAAGGAGATTGGATAAACTGAAATAGTCTTTAGCTGGAATTTGTACATGCACTTTTTCAAAAACATTGAGTGACGAGTGCATTGAAATATGATATGGATAATGACTTTAACTATTATCAATGAAATTATGACTAATTATCATGAATGCTGAACCTAAGTAATGTGGAATTTGTGCATGCACTTTTTCAAACAGTTCCAGTATCTCTAGATGTTTGAATCCGCTTGACTTTGGCCTTGAAAATTTATGCTTCCATCAATTCTTCTAATTCAACCCTGCATTTCCAAGGAAATTTTTTTATAACCTTGAACACTACTGCTCACGAGCATCATAGTTGGTTTGACAAAATTTGTATTCATTTATGTGAATCTGAGCTCTTTGATGACTGTTCTGGTGACATATTTTCGTAATGCAGGAGAACGTCAAGAGTGTGGTTGATAATTTTCTTGAATATGTTATGAACAATCACCGTGTCAATAGGGAAACAGTGTCAATATTACAGGCTTTTCGAATATCACTGGTCAGAATATTTTCATGCTTTTTCTTCTATTCCATACTTGTTCCCTGCTTTTCTTGCCATATCCTTGCTGTCTGACATAGGATTTATTTTCTTGAAGAATTTCTTTTTCTGTTTATTTATTTCTTGATTGTTTTTTCACAGTCCATGTCAAATCACTACTATAAAGGATAATTAGTTGTATATTAAAAAGTTTCTTTTGAACTTAGTAGGTACTTTGCAGTTGCAAATAATTTTTAATATCTCTCTTCATTTTAACTACCCAAGTTAAAACTATTTGAATCCAATGTCTGTTTGTAGTTTTAGTTTAGCCTCTTTTCTTGATTCTTAATTTGTTATCATCCACAAATAACTTGCATTTATGTATAATATTTTTTATGTTGTTTATAAGCAATTAAGCACATATTAGATTAGATTAAATATGTAAACACTCAAGGTAAAGCCTTGATGTAAACATATCTTTATGTTGAAGTCTTTAGTAACACTTGTAGGAGTTTTCATTCTTGTAGTTACCTTATTATACATATCATCATGCATGGTCTAAATATAAGTCATGCAAACATCTTTTTCTTTAAAAAAATTTCACAATATTTTTCTTCACACTTAATTATATGCTTTTTTCAAATGAATAAAAATTATGTTATTTTATTTCTTTGTTGCAATACCTTTCCATCAACCCTGATAGATGATAAGTAGCTTATGCTGTTGACTTTCTTATCATAATTCTAAGCTGATTCCCAGTGATTCAATCTCAGTCTATGCTAAATCTCTTTTTCCTATAATTTTAGTGTTGTTCATGAGTTATCTCTTGTAAAATTTTATAGTGTTGCTTCTCCATAGTTCACTCATTTGCCATTTTATTCGATATTACAATCTCATTAATCAGCTTAATGAGTTAAATGATTCATCTTACACATTTTCAAACCTTATTAAGTGATTAGATGTTTTTCTCAGCTTCTTAAATCAAGTTTTCATAATTTTGAAATCATATGCTATTATAAAATCAAGAATAGACTATCATTTCTCATTTAGCATTCCAAACAAAAACCATTATGAGCTCTTGTAAATTGCCTTACCTCACTGGCAATATGTTCATTTATCCTTCCTTTTGAAAATCTTTTTTTTTTAATGGAATGCCTTGAGCCAATCCTGTCAAATCTTTCCAAAACTTTTCTCTCAAAAGTGTTTCCAATCTTGCTGTGGAGCATAAGCATTTGATGTTATTGATATTCTCTCATGCTGTCAAAGACCAAATCAAAGATGTGAAAAGTATTACTAACAAAAAAAGAAAATACTGCAGAAAAGATTTCTGCAATACCCAGAGCACAACTCCTACAAGGTTTGCACCCTTGCCCACTACTAACAGCAGAAAAGCATAACTGACCCATTCTCTCTCTTCCCTCCCATTATATGAAACATTACACGTCATGCTACTCTCCATAAATAATTTTTCTCTCTAATTCCCATTTTGGCCCTTCTTATTTATCCTACTATAAGTTTTCCAAATCCAAGACCCATTACGGAGTTGGACTGGACTTGTCCCCTTAGGTTCATGGGACCTCACATTGCCACCCCCATCAAGAGAGGCCTTGTCCTCAAGGCTAACATCTGGAAATTGAGTGGAAATTGTGAGAGCATCTTTCCAAGTATCATTTTCATCAGGCTGCCCTTTCCACCTGATTAACCAGTAAGGAACAACTCCCCCTTTCTTCTGTTTGTATTGAACTGCAAGAATCTTCTCGGGAACAATGTTGGCAGCCACTTCTGGCTCCAACCTAGTTGGCAAATCGTGTGTAGGCTGATAATCTCCCACTGCCTTTTTAAGTTGAGAAATGTGAAAAACAAGGTGGATTCTAGATTGAGGAGGTAGTTTCAGCTGATAGGCCACTGTATCCACCTGCTTTTCAATCTGATATGGGCCATAGAACCTAACAGCCACCTTAGGATTGATCCTCTGAACAACACTAGCCTGAGGGCAGCCACCTTAGGATTGATCCTCTGAACAACACTAGCCTGAGGCCTTAGTTTGAGGAATACCCAATCCCCCACCTCAAAACTTTGAAACCTCCTCTTTTTATCAGCAAATTTCTTGATATGCTCTTAGGCCCATTGCAAGTGATATCTCAATTGTTTGAGAGCATCATCCCTATCAATTAGTTCTCTTTCAACTGATTCCACTTTGGTTTCTCCTAAAGCATACTGCAACAAAGGAGGAGATTTCCTACCATACACAGCGTGAAAAGGGCTAACCCCTGTTGTAGCATGAAAAGTGGTGTTATACCACCATTCTCCCCAATGCAACCAACAACTTCTAGTCTTCGGCTGTTCAGAGCAAAAGCAACTGAAATACGTCTCCAAACATTTGTTAACTATCTGAGTTTGTCCAGCAGTTTGTAGATGATATAAGGAACGCGTGCTACTTGGGGCCATTAAGTTTAAAGAGTTGATTCCAAAAGTGACTAAGGAATAAAGGATCTCGGTCACTGATGATGGACTTGAGGATTCCATGGAGTTTAACCACTTCCCTAGTGAAAGAATAAGCTACTGTCCTAGCTGTGAATGGGTATTTAAGTGGAATGAAATGAACATATTTGGAGAGACGATCAACTACCACCAAAATAATGTCAAATCCCTTGGACTTTGGTAAAGCTGTAACAAAATCAAGACTTATATCCTACCAAATTTGTTCAGGAGCATCCAATGGCTGAAGTAACCCTGCGGGAGATTGAGCTTGATATTTTTGCCATTAACAAATGTCACATTCTTTAACAAACTTTGAACTCTCCTTTTCATCCCACACCAATAATAACATTCAGTCAGCCGCCTATACGTTCTGAAATACCCTAAATGTCCACCTGTCAGGCTGTTATGAAATTCATGGAATAATGTTGGAATCCAAGTCAATGTTGCAGAGATAACTAATCTGTCATAGTACAATAGAACACCATGATTTAGAGAAAATCCAGGTCTAGAAGTCGGGTCTTGCTGCAAGTCTGAAAGCACCTTCTGCACAAATTAATCTTGCTGGATTCCTTATATTTTCTCATAATCCAACCACTTAGGTTTTGAAATCAAAACCTGAATAACCATGATAATGCATCTGCAGCCTTGTTTTGGAGGCGAGATTTGAAAATCACCTCAAAATCATACTCTAATAATTTTGTAAGCCAATATTATTGGTCTGGTGTTGTGATTTGCTGCTGCAACAACTGCCTCAAACTTCCTTGATCAGAAAAAACTTTAAAATGTCTTCCTAATAAATAAGTTCTCCAGTGCTGAATTGACATAACTAATGCCATGAGTTCTTTGTGATAGGCAGACTTAGCTAAATTTCTCTCAGAAAGGGATTTACTAAAATAGGTTTAAGCTTTCTTAGGATCCATGGCCACTTCTTTTGCTGAAATTATATGGCTGAGATACTCTATCTCTTGTCTACCAAATTGACACTTTTTCTAGTTCACCACCGACTCATGGTTATACAAGCAGTCCAAAACATGCCTCAAATGAAGGATATGAGAGTTCCAATCAATGCTATATATTAAAATGTCGTAAAAAAATACCAACACAAACTTTCTCAAGCAATGTCTAAATACATCATTAATTAAAGATTGAAAAGTGACTGGTGCATTCATCAACCCAAAAGGTATAACTAAATATTCATAATGCTCATTATGGATCCTAAATGCAATTTTAGGAGTGTCTTCTTCTCTTACTCGAATCTAGTGATAACCAGACTTGCAAGTCTAGCTTTGAGAAGTAAAAAGTTCCATGCAACTCATCTAATAAATTCTTCAAGAACAGGGATTGGATACTTGTCCAGAGTTGTAGCTTTATTGAGAACTGTATTGTCGACACACATTCTCCATGTAAAGTCCTTCTTTACCAATATCATTGGGCTAGAGTAAGCATTTGTACTTGGTCTAATTTCCCATGAATTCAGTAGCTCCTTTACTTGTTTTTCTATTTCAGCTTTTTGATAATGGGAGTACCTATAGGGTCAAACACTTACTGGTCCTTCTCCATATTTTAAAGTGATATGATGGTGTTTAGATCTCTTGGGAGACAACTCTTTTGGCTTTTAGAAAACCTCTAAGAATTCTTATAAAATTTTCTGCACATCTTTTTTCTGCTCTAGGGTCAATGTTTTTTCACCAACCCCCCTACCTTTTGGGCCTTGGTGGACTAGACTAACCCCTCAACCTCCTGCTCTTCTTGATTTAGAAAGCTATAGAGAGAATTATTTCTTCCTCCAAGAGTAGGCTCACCTTTCAATTCAACACCTTTTTCATCCTATTCAAATTTCATGATCTACTGCCTCCAATTTGTAGTGACTTCTCCTAATGTGGCCAACCATTCCACACCCAAAATTAAGTCAACCTCTTTCATATCAAACACATAAGAATCAATGCATATCTGCAAGTCTTTCAACCATCTCTTAGTCTGACTCCCACCTTGGGGGTGTTGCTATATTCTAACTTATGAGAAACTCCACTATTAATCAAATTTCCCAATGGAATCCCTTTGATTTTTCCTCTTATTTTCATGGTTTTGGGTTGAAATCCAACTCCTTGATCTACCGCATAACTAAGAGCAGAACACTCCAGCTCTCCACTAGGATGCCCTTCCATCTCCAAGGCATCAGATCATTGATACATAGGGTGAAAGTTTTGGCCACAATGATAAGTGACTCATTCCTCAGTCTTTTCCATTATTAACTTGCCTTTCTCCAGCCCCAACTTTGCCCAAACTTCCCTTCTTCCTTTCGAAACTCCTTGTTTTGTGTTCCACTTGAATTTCCACCAAATCGTGCCATAGACTAAGGCTCTATTCCAAAATACTAAAACAGAGGATGAGAGTAACCCCCATTTCCTGTATTTGAACTCCTCCTATATGTTGTTTTGTACTGCACATCCTCTAACAAGTCAGCCTCAATTGCTCTCGCTAACTTCATCATCCTTACCTTGTTATCAGTTTTATAAATACAAACCTTTCATCGAATCTCTGCCTGAAGACCATGCATAAAGTAGGCCATGAATTGCTGTTCTGGCATCTTGGGAACCTTAGAAACTAGATATTCAAACTCTTTGATATATGAATCCATAGTCCCATCCTGTTGATTTTCTGCCAAACTGTCAAAAGGATTCTCCATTAGAGCCCCTCCATACCTTTGAAGTAGTGCTACTTTTAGGTTATCCCATGATGGTTTTGGCTCATTTTCAATCCATAGATTGAACCAATGAACCGTAGGCCCCTCCATGGAGTTTTGGCTAGTCGCAACTTTTTCTATGGCCGAGTGTCTTGAATTTCGAAATATGTCTTAGCTCAAGAAACCCATGCATGTGGGTCAGTGCTGTCAAACCCCGGAAGCTCTGGATCAAAACTCTGCCATCATTTGCTCTTCTACAGAATTTTAGGTGTTTGTTTACTTGACAAAGCTCCACCAATTTGATGCTGAGAATGAGAAGATTCTAACAACATATTCTAATCATGGGATGGACCTCGTCACAAGCGTGATTCCATCTGTTTCATCTCTTCCATCAACGTGAAAACTGCATTCTACAAGTTCAACTGTGACCTCTCTTGTGTATCAGCTAGCTTTTGGACTAAATTCTCTAGTGAACTCAACGGCATACAACTCCTTTCGCCGCTCTCTGATTAGGGTATCCGGTAGGTCTGACCAATTTGTCAGAGATCAAATCAAAGATGTGAAAAGTATTACTAACAAAAAAAGAAAATACTGCAGAAAAGATTTCTGCAATACCCAGAGCACAGCTCCTACAACGTTTGCACCCTGGCCCACTACTAACAACAGAAAAGCATAATTGATCCATTCTCTCTCTTCCATTTTTCTCTCTAATTCCCATTCTGCCCTTTCTTATTTCTCCTACTATAAGTTTTCCAAATCCAAGGCCCATGATGAAGTTGGACTGGACTTGTCCCCTTAAGTTCATGGGACCTAACACATGCAATCATTAATTTTAAAGATAAAAGCATTTAATATTTTAACATCCACTACATATTTCTTCTAATTCTTGTTTATAATAATATCCATTCTGTTTTTTCTCTAACTTTTCTTGTGCACCAAAGTTGAAATCCTAGTGTCTAAATCCTTGGCTCTTTCTCTAGTTGAAGACACATGATGTGGATCCTTATTCGAGTCATGGAGTCCACCACCTCATATTGGCTATTAGTCAATTTCATATATGCCTCGAAATTTTTGTTTCAGCTGAGATTATTGTCAGCTTTTTGAGTTGGGTCATGATGCAGCTAGTATAAACTCTTAAGCCTGATTGTTAGTGTAGGGTGTTAGTCAGATAAACATGAATGAAGTATTTTGTAAACACACTGCAAAATGGTATTGTTAGTTTACATGACTTTCATTCCCAACCTTTTATAAATGCATTTATTCACCTAATTGCATTTAATATGTAAAACTGATTTTTTATTTGTGCAAATTTCAGTGTTGGACTGCTGCTGCTTTGCTAAAGCACAAACTTGCCCATGGGGCTTCTCTTATACGTGCAAAACAGCATTTGAACTTTGACTGTAAAAAACAAGAGGCGGACTGGGTTTATTCTATGTTGCGTTGTCTAAAGAAAATATTTTTATATCGTACTGGAAATTATACTGATACTAGTTCTCCAAAAGCTTCTAAATCATTGAGTAGGGCATATTCCCGTACAGAAGCTGCACGAGAGGTTGAGTTATTTTTAAAGGATTTGTCCAAAAGTATTAAAGAAATTCGGAAGAAGTGCGAAGGGATGCTAAAGAACCTATGTCTTGTGCAAGAGGAAGAGATGCAAAGATTGAAAGCAGCATTTGAGGATGAAAAGACTGACATTGAGAGAAAGTACAAAATAGAGTTAGCCTTTATTCAATCCTGCTCTCCCACTAATATTGTGAGAATGGAAAAACTCAAGATTTTGAATATTGAATACGAAAAAAGAAATGTAGAACTGAAATGTCAGCATGAAAAACGTTTCAAGGATCTGGAGGACAAGCAATTAGCTGAAAAACAGAAGTTGCAAGTCAGTGAGGCTACTTGGGTAGAAGATTTGAAATCTTGGGCACAAAATGAATTGCTAAATTTAGGTGCTTCAAGGGAAGTTGGGACTGTGGTTGAATCCTTGCAGGCTTGTGATCAAGTACTGCCTCACAATGGTCCAAAGAATAATTTTGCTGAAGGACAGGGTCATGATGACATGGTAGATTCTGTGATGAAAACTGGGACTGTTGTTCCTGACACCAAATCCCCTGCAGTTTTACAATGCAGTAGCACAACTGAACTGCAAAATCCTCTGGTCAAGCAAATTGGTACTAATGAAATGGACAATATGGTTTTAGAAGATCAACCAATCTCTAGAAGTGAGGACCATAATAGAGCTAGTCAAGGATATATTATCAGTAAACATTCCCACTCTGGAGAACAGAATTCTTTTGATGATGTGCGTGAAAATTCTAACCATGGATCTCAAGATGGTTGTAGGAATGATGCTGTAACGTCAATTCTGCTTTCATCAAATAGAGAAGTGTGTAATGGGGAAACATCAGATATTGCAACTGGAGAGGTGGCTCATGACGTGTTCAAAAGCAGTAGTGCAACTGATGGTCAGGACAAAGTTCATTCTTTGAATTCAGAATCACCTGAAAAGAATATACATGGTGCAAAAGATTCTGCACAAATATGTGTGGCTGATAAATGTGAAGGTTCAAATAATTCTGTCGCAGAGAATTCACCTTTATCTGATGAAAGAATTGCTAATGGGGCCGCAGCAAGTTTGTTAGATAGAGTGGAACTTTTGGGACTGCATGGGACTGTCAATATTACTGATTGTCCAGAAAACGGTACTGCTATGAATCCTTCTTCATCCAAGGAGCAAATATCTGATGGTGGTACTGTAAATGAATTTTTAGATAGAGAGTCATCTAGACTGTGTGAAACTGCTAGTCCAGGTAACAGTCCAGTTAAAATTACCCTTTTGAAATCACAACCCCAAAATTCTGGTGGAGTCCTGTCAAGCATACCTGATGGACATGCTCTGGTTGAAGTGCAAGAAACTAGTTATGAAGGGGACACTGTAAGTGTATTGGAAAGAGAGATACCTGTGGCAACACCTGTGATGTTCAATTATACTGATTGCCCAGAGGATGCAGCTCCTCTGAATTCTCTGTCATCTATGGGTCAAAGATCTGATAGAGGTTCAGTGGATGTCTCAGGTTTAGATAGTGTTTTATCACCAAGGCCTTGTCAAACTGCTAATTCAAGTGGTCAGGTTACAATGTCCCTTTCAAATCCACTTTTGGAACAACAAACTCATGATGAAGTCCCTTTGGCTATTTCAGATAGAGATGTTCCAATTCTGGTGCCAGAAAATAGTCATGCAATGGGGGATAGTCATAATGATATAGAGCCTTTGACAAATTATCTGTTGATGGGTAAAAGTACCACATCAGACCCACAGGAAAAAGCGCCTGAAACAATCACTGAATCGTCCCTGGAGACTCCAGTATCTAGATCAGTTAATGTCATGGATCCTCCAGAACAAGTGGAGCAATTATCATCTGAGTCCTCTACTGACCACAATTCATCTAGGGAAATGCAGTGTTCTTCTGAGCAAGCTGAACTGGTATCTAGTCCAGTTCCAATCAACCAATATAATCATGTTTCACTGTTCATGAAGCCTTTAGAGCAGGTGCAACAATTACGATCTGCAGAGCTCCCTTCTTCCCATCTAGATTCAACTAATTTTCCTTTGGCAACTGAAGTTGAACTTCAGCCAACCGTGGTTCCAAATCAAGATGTCACGCAACGTGGTTCAGATTCAGAACTTGATTCACTTTCACATGAAGTTGTACACCCTGCCTCAAATTCAGACCATGATTTCCTTACCCCTGGTGAAGTAAGAACGCAATCTTCAGACCCAAGAAATTTGTCAACTCCTTCAGAGACCAATTATCATCCTATGCAAACTGATACCCATTCAGCTTCCAGAATGCTTCTGCATTTGCGTTATGATCCACTTAAAAATGAATTGGATAGAATACGAAAAGTAACAGAACACACTATGAAAAACTATGAAGATATGGTTAGTTTCTGGTTTACTTTTATTTCATTGTTGTGATTATACTCATTCTAGGTTTCTATCTTGTGTTTATATGATGTTATTCTTTTTGGAGCAGAAATTGCAGTTGAAATTTGATTTTGAAAAGGAATTAGAGGAACTTCGCGTGAAGTATGACATTAAATTTCAGGAGATTGAAGTTGAATTTCAGCATACGAAGAGAACTCTGGATACCAGTCTTGACATAGTTCGTATGAATAAGTTATTGGCAGATGCTTTTAGGTCTAAATGTTTGGTTCTTAAATCATCTGGTACATCAGGTATGCTGATTTTATAAAGATCATTTCTAATATTTCTTTCATTGCCCTGACAGGATATGTTATGAAAATCTAGATAGTTCCATTCCCACTATGTTTCTAATAGTAATAGTGGTTTTCCTTGCCATCTATTCTCTTTTTGGATCAATCAAGTTTCAATAAGTTAAAAGCTTGAGGTGGCAGATGCTGTGAAGATTTTGTAGAGTTCTTGATAAGCATATAATGTGTTTCTTCTATTATTTATCTTCCTCGTGTAACCTACATCCCCAACCCGCCCCCCATACCCAACTTCCACCACCACCATAAAAAATTCCTCAAGAATTTGGATGGACCACTACTGCAGTATAGGTTAGGAGGGGCCGAATTTTCCTTCATTTGGTGGGAAATGAAAGGCATATCAAATCAGATAACGCCTCAAGAAAACAATGAGCATCACTAATTTTGGTGTTGGCACCTGCTGTTTTGGCCTTTCGTAGGCTACAGTACAGATATGTAATATTTGAAAAAAACTGAGTCTGAAACTAATGAATGTTATTTAGTGATTGTATAAGCAGTTTTTTTTTTATATTTTCTGTTTGGATTACTTGGATTCGGGAAAGGTGAAAAATTTATGGACTTAAATATGTATGTCTGAGACTCTTGAGTGTGTTTGCATTCAGCTGATTATATATTCTGCTCATTAGCAAAAATACAGAACACTGAATTTGGATGCTTTTCCTAACCACTATTTTAATGTCAGATTCAAGTTACGCACAGCAGTTGTTTCAGCTTCCAAGACAACAAAGTGCTACTTGTCCACCCCTGGTTGCTGGTTCATCTTCCTGTGGGCCTTCTGCGACTAGTCTGCAGAGTCCCTACACAACAGCTAACTCTCAGCATATGGTACCGCCTATACAAGCTGGTTACAGTGTATTAGAAGTTTTCTCCAATGGCGAGATACATGCCCCCGCACCACATCCCCCGTCTTGTAGACCCTCAACATCTGTACCAGCGTCCAGTGTCCCTGCTCTTCTGCATGGGATGCCAAGTCAGACAGATACCGTTAATGTTCCTGCAACATCTCCCTCATTTTCTCATGGTCCTCCCCGACCAAAACCCACAACCTACCCGTCTGATCCTCACTTGGGGTGCCCACCCGGTAGTGCAGGTCGGTTACCTACGCCTAACTTACCTGCCATGGATTTACGCATGAATGCCAACAGTCAATTTACTGTTAATCTCCCAAATGTGGCTGTAGGGAACCTATCCAGATTTGGCACCAGTAGTAGCGCTCTGGCTAACGCATCCCATCAATCTGCTTCGCCAGATTTAGTCTGTTTATCAGATGACGACTAACCAAATGAAGTGGTTTTTGCATATTTTTCTTAACAGGCCATGGTATAGCTTTTTCCGTTTTTTTTTTTCTCTCTCCCTAGTTGAGGGGGATTCTTACACGAATGTTGCAGTGTAGTACTGATGCTGATGCCAATAGGTTTCTTTTTTTTTTCCAACGCTTTGTTCTAATATATTAAAATGTATATATGTAAATTGTCTAATTTTCCTGGTATGCAATGAATCATGAATGGCTGGCGGTTATGAAAAAGCGTGGTGAAATCTTGAACTGGCTGTACTTCAGAAACGACTCGTTGAATGTTAATATGCGACTAAACATACTAACAGAGCTCCTGTCTTCCTGCGGCGTGAAAAAAAACTTGTTTTCAAAATGGCAGCCCAAAGTTTTCCTTTTAAAATGGAAAAGTCGGAGCTTAATTTCGTATATAGACAAAATAAAAAATGGTATATCCTTGCGATTGTAACATTCACATTCTCGCATGAATCAATTGGAAAGTTTCATTTTGGTTGTTGGGAGTGGCCAAATCATCGACTGAGACTGGTAATTTGTCTTTAGACGAGGTTTTGAAGATTGTTCTATCGTATCAAATTGGAGAATACTTTGGACTAGCTTGCCAATTTACCGGATTGTCGGCAGATTAATTGAGTTGAGGTTTATTTGGAAGAACTTACAAATAATGTATGAAAATAATTTAAGATTTGTATAAGTATTCTTAAGTTTTTTAAAATAAATTTTATGGTTAAATTTATTATATTATTTTATTAAATAAGTATTTAATCCACTCTTAAACAAAAAGAGTTGATAATAAGCCTTTTTATAATATTTCTTATTAAAAAAAATTGAATGTGACTTGTCAATTCAAACAATTAAATATTTGATTTGTTTAATTTAAAAATTGCTAATTATTAGCTTGATAGAGAGATATATCGAAAAAAAACTTTGAAAGAAGCTATTAAAAAGAGTTTTATGATAAATATTTCAAATAATTTATTTTTTTTACTGAGTTTAATGATGTAATATTATCCACATAGCCAACCTTATCTAACAAAATAACTTTTTTTATACCAATATAATTTCATCATTACACACATAAAAGAGGGATCAAGTACATAAATGGAACTAATGAATTATTGAATAATATCTTTATTGATTTAACTAGAATATTCTTATAAATTTTGTCTAGAACACCAGAACGATCGCAAATGTATATTCTATATTAAATGAATCTTGTTATGATTTGTTCACAGATGCATTTCTCGATTTACATAATTAAAATTCTCTATTAGAATACAAGAAGGTATTCTCATCACAGCTTCCTTGCTCCTTAACTATAGGAACCCGCTAGGCATCCCATATATTACTTTCGAAGGGAAAACAAAACATTATTGTACTAATGAAGGTCTGTGGAGGTCCAACATATAGGAAGAGGAGTACCATCCCAATCCTTGAGGCATTCGAACATTGGGTTTATTATCTTTCCCTTAGTAATTGCATTATAAACTTTGTCAAAATCTTCACCAGGCGATTTAATTTTCTCCCCAGTTAAAAACTCTGTACCCAATTCCTCTCTAACAAACTTATACAATGGATAGGACCTGCATTCCTTAATTTTGTTAGGACTTGCTGAACTTCCTTTTTCAAAGGCATTCCTTGTTGATTCAACATCTTTGGGCAACACTCTTTTCAGTTCCTCTTCAAAGGCACCAATCTTAAGGAAAATAGAAGCATTTATACTTTTCAAACCATTGTTACTCCTCAATGCATGTTCCACTAGCACTTGCCTCAGTTTTTGCATAAGTGGGTAAGCGGCATTGCATGGATCATCAATGTAGGCAAAAACATACTCACACTCGACCACTCTAAGTAAATCTTTCTCACAAGACCTGGAATAATGAAACTCCCCATTGACTCCCAGTGTCAAGACATCTTTGGCCACTTGGCTCACCATATTCTTAACTGTGTTCTTTAGGTTCTCCTCCAAATGCCTCAAATCTATAGCTTGACAGAGAGCAATCAAGAAAGTTGATGACATGAGCTTTAAAATTTCAACAGCTTCAGCCGTTTTCCTGGCAGAGATTAATCCCAATGAATTCACATCCTGGTTGTGTTGTTCTGCACTTTGCACATGATTGGTAACAGGGTTTGCTAGATACTGAAGCTCAGAACAATACGCAGCCATTGCTATCTCACCACCCTTTAATCCATAATCCAAACTTGGACAGTGACCCCCCGAGAGATTTGAAGGCAACCCATTATTGTAGAAATCATTAACCAACTCAGACATTTGAGCAAAAAGGAGTTTTCCAATTGCAGCCAAAGCCAATCTTGTGTTGTCCATTGAAACCCCCACTGGGGTACCTTGAAAATTGCCACCATGCAAAGCTTTGTTTCTTGACACATCAATCAAAGGATTATCATTCACAGAGTTGATCTCCCTCTCAATGGATTTGGTTGATAACCGAATAACCTCAATTTGAGGACCTAACCATTGTGGTGAAGTCCGAAGAGCATATCTATCTTGCTTAGGCTTTCTGAAGGGGTCTATTTCATGCAACTTTTGTGCTGCTTTAACATAAGCACTTCCATGCAAGATATGTTCCATTAATGCTGCAGCCTCAATCTGGCCAGGATGATGCTTCAATTTGTGAGTCAAATGGTCAGTGAACTCTGGCTTCCCTTGCATGACTTCAGCAAAAATAGCAGACATGACTTCAGATAATATGGTTAGGATATTAGCCTCGAACAATACTATAGAAGCCATTCCAGCTCCAACCCCAGTTCCATTAACAAGTGCAAGACCCTCCTTGGGATGCAACTTAAAGCAACCCTCATAAATACCAGCTAGATGGAAAGCTTCTGCAGCACTTAGGGTCTCACCATTGGGCCCAATAGCCTTTGAATTAGGCCTTCCTGTCAATAGTCCAGCCATGTATGAAAATGGAACTAAGTCCCCTGATGCTGAAATTGAACCACGCAGTGGCAAACATGGTGTAATGCCTTTGTTGAGTAGTTTTGCAATTGCTTCTAGTATTTCATACCTGATGCCAGAGTAGCCTTGAAGGAGGGTATTGATCCTTACCAACATTGCAGCTCTTGTTACACTGCATGGCATAGTGTGGCATGCTTCTGTTCCATCCCCAAAAATTCCAGCATTCAAAAACCTGTCAACAAACAAACATTATTTCTACCATGAATCACAACAGCTTCAGAAAGCATCCATGGGAGAGACCATTGCTCTGAGTTGCAAGGGAATATCCAGTTAGTCATTAAACATTGTAACATTGCCAGAAAATCATTCACGATTCACCTATTCTTATCATCCCATCAAGGATTAAAAAAATGTTAAAAAAAACAAACAAAAAAATTTGATATTATTAAATAGAAATTTTATTTGTGAATCAACATTAAAAATATGGTTTTGATATTGAAACCTTAATCATCCTGTGTTGCATTTTCCTACACCCACCTTAATATGTTAATTTTTCGTACTCTCTTATACATTTGTTAAGTGATAATTCAAAGACATTATTACATAACATTTTTCTTTATATTAACACAACACATTTACATTACATGTATGTTAATCCTTAAATTAACAACAAATGGTGACATGAAAAATAGAACATGGGCTACCTAATGAGCTCAGCCTGAAGAGCCACACCCTGAGTGGTTCTTCGGTGTGAGGTTGCACCAAAGCCAGTAGTGACCCCATAACAATCAGTTCCTTTGTGGATGTTCTCCATCACCCACTCAAAGCTAGCCTTCATCCCCACCTTGGCCTCATCATTGAGTTCCACCGCCATCCTCCTCTCCGCCACGGCCACCACCTCCCCCACCGTCAAAGTGTCTCCTCCAACCGTGACAACCGGTTTCCCGTAATCCTCTACCATCCTCTTCACTTCCTCCAAATGGCTCCCCTTCAACGACTCCGCCGCGTCCTTCCACTTCAACGGGTCGACGTCACCATTCCCGTTCTCTTGCTTCCGATGCCGTAACATCGTTTTTAATTATTTTACTATATAATATAGACACGTATACTATATATTATATAATATATATTGTAATGGGAAAGGGGTTGATGTGATGTGAACCCAAACAGCGAAGGCAATAAGACTCATTCATTCATATGTACTCTGCTATGCTGCCATTTCCAAGGGGTCTTGTCCTTAAATCCAGGGAAACGCGAATTTACTGAATATTTGTTACACTCCTTTTCTATTTTTTAATCTTCTCTCTTTTTTTTAATGCCAACAACACAAATTTATAAGTATGGTTTTAAACGAGTGTATAAGGATATATATAAAAAAATCGATTTTTAAGAATTATAAAATTTAATATTAAACTTAATAATATCATTTAATTTTTAATAAAAACTTATTATGCGTAATTTTTTATTATGTATCTTTAAATACATATTAAAAAACTATTTATATTATCTTGTATTATCTATAAGAAATATATTTTTTAATGTGTTTAAAGATAAATGTTAAAAAATATTAAATACACACTGTTACATACTTTAAATTGTTATACAGAATATACATTAAATTTTTTATGATTATATTTTTATAATTTTAAAATAATAAATATTCACATTTATAATCTTGGACACGCTTAAAAAATCATAAAAATATTTTACAAAAGTATTATATAAAAAAATTTCTGATATTGCTATGAACCAACTAGTCTTCTCTCAAAAGTTAAGTTTACTATACTTTTAATACATGTTTTTTTGCCTGAGTTTGAAACGTTTAGTCATCTATTGAATAATTTAAAAATGTTATCAGCAACAATACAATGCCCATATGAGTATGTTTTTTAATTAATAAAAAATATTAAAATTTTGTCACACACCATATAATGGTTAGCCAGTGAACACATAATAGTATTGGATCACCCAATTTTTTTTTTTCTAATAGAAAACAATGCACGTGTCCAAATTAATATTTTTTGAAAAAAAAAAATCCAACATTTTATCGATATTTTGTCACACATCGTACTCCCGTATACTTTCTCTATTTTTAAAAGTATTTTTTTAATTTTACTTTTAAAATAATTATTATTTTAAAACTTATTTTTATATTCTCTCTATTCATTTATTGTATAAACAAATGTCAAAATAGATATAATAAAAAATTCTATAATATATTTAATAAAAATAAATAATAAAATATATTTTTAGTTTTTTAAATGGAAAAATATTGTGTCATCAAAATGAGAGGCCTTGGTAAAGAAAAATTAGAGGTTCAAGATATACGAAATTGCACCTGCTAATTAATTATCTTAGTCTAGGCTTACAAATTATATATATATATATATGCTAATGGATTCTATTATGACACTGAATTTTTTTTATAAGTAAATTTTCTAGTCCGAATGATATTTAATTGTTAATGTTTCTGCCAAATATCAACTTAAACTATGGCACTTGAGTTTTCAGTGAACAGGGAGATGCATACTTATAAAATAGAATATCGCTATAATATTATATTTTCTAACCTCTTTTTAACACACTTTTATATTATTAGTTAAAATTCAAAAAAGTTCAATCAATAATAATATATTTAAATGGATGTATTGGAGAATATAAGTAATTTATTTTTTATCAACAAATAATGTGAGTAATTATTGTTAACGTGTGGTAGATGAACATTTTGTTCTACCATCACTATGCCACCGACCATGCATGCACGCCAATATTGTAATCAGTATCTGGTCACCAATTCAATTACGACTCCATGTCCCTTCCGTGGAGAGAACAATATGTAATAAAAGACAAATTTATATCCATTCTTCATCAATGAAACTTATGAATTTGCTGGATTTGCTAATCCTATTTTCTCTTTCTACAGATATAGCAACATTAATTACTTCCTTATCCTCTTGAATGGTATGTATATATATACGCAAAGTAGAAGTATTTTTTTACATTAATTTAAATTTATAAATTTTTATATTCAATTTAAATCTTTTATTTAATTTATATCAAACGATCAGTATAAATTTAAAATTTTTTATATTTAATATAAACTTTTTATTTAACTTATCTATAATGTTAGTGAATTTACAATTCATTATATGTAAATTAAATAAAAAATTTAAATTAAGTATACAAATTTTTAAAATTATACTATTATGAAAAAAATTTATTCCATATGTAAATTCTTCTCAATTAAAACATATAAACTTCGTGCATGATTAAAATAAACTGACTTGAGTTGGACTTTATAAATCCTAAATTTGTCCTATTTATTTGATATGAATTGTTTTTTAGAGTTTGCTTTATAATTTTTTAATTAAATAGGCTGTAAAAAAAATTAACCTATTTGGTAAATAACTTCGGCTTAACTTAAGCCCGATGCTGTTTAGTTTCAACCTATTTTTGCTCCTAATTACGTGAGTTCATATGTGATCCCTTTTATCTTTCGGGTGGATCCATATTTTTGCTTGAATTTGGTCCACATGCCCCCCATGTTTGTGGCTTCTGCCCTTAAAGGCGAAAAGTGTTCAATATTCTATAAAATGAGCTTAGGTCTTGTCACGACCCTCCAAAAAAAAACTTATGTCTTGTCCCATTAGGAGACTTATGTGTGTGTGATTCTCCTAGGGAAAAAGGTTCCAAGACACTCAAAAGTTTAAAGAGAAGAAAGTCCGAACTTTGGAGTTGTGATTTTTTTTTAAGAACTGTGATTTTATGTTTTATTCGATACTTTATTTAGATGTCGGTAAACAAGTATGTTTTGATTTGTTATTGGGTAACATTACAGTTGCTTTAGCATAATATGATTACTTTTGTAAGTATCGTTAAGCTTCTGGTTAATTAATTTTAAGTCTATGATTGCAGACAAATTACATATTGAAAAATATCTTATATTACATTGATTGTTAATAACTAAATACATTATTTGTATACTATTATTTAAAACTAGCGAACTGTGAAAATATTTAAATACATGTGCATTCCAAGCAGGACTACATGTGATAGTGCAAATTGTCTTCGAATATGTCTACAAGAAACTTGACCCAATTAGGAGAAAAACGAAAATATGGGAACGAGTTGTGGAAAGATCAATATTTTATGGTTTGAATCACGTGGAAGAAAAAGTTTGCCCTGTTTTAAATTACGTATAAAACCTTGTGTGGGGTGATTAAGCTGATTCTGACATTCAATTTCTTAAACAATCAGATATACTGAATTCAAACAGACACCACCTCGAGCTTTTTAAGGATGGAGATATTAAAGTGGAAAGAGTTAAACATACTTGTAATCGTAACATGTCAATATTCTAAAAGAAAATTTCAATTGAACTGTCAAATGTGATCAATTGTCGTGTGCGTTCTAATTTTTTAATAGCTGAATTTTACATTTTTTAGAAGCAATCAAATATTCAAATCAAAATTAATTCCAAGTGTACTTGTTTTGTTCTCATTCGTGTGTATATTGATCATTGAATTTGTCAATATATCATGCATACTCTTTGCAAAATTGTTCTAGTTTCTTGGCACACGCAGCTTCTCTGAGTTTTTGGACACTTTCGAAAGCTTTGCTTGTGATATTTTTCAAATCGTGGATAATTCTGCTCAACGTGTCGTTTTAATTGATACTAACTTTCATTTTCTTTACATCAACTTTTTAGAAACTTTGTCTTGGTCCTATTTAAAATTTTCTATAAATTATTTGTTGGGTTTTTTACAAAAATATATAAAATTAAATATGATAAATTAATTTATTGAACTTTTTCCTCTCAAGGAAATAGAAAAATTAATTACAATGACCTCTTTCATTGACATTAATTAACTGCACGAATCAGTTTAGTGCCTCCCTCAAAGATAGATTACTATCGTTAGTTTTTATTATTACTTTCATTTTTATTATAAAAAATAATTTTTTTACTAAAAAAATACTATTTTTAAATGTTTAAAACAACTTTAAGAGTTAAGGTCAACAAATTTGTTAATTTAAGTATGTAAAAATATTTAATTATATTTTACATTATTAATATAATAAACATCTTAAATGAAAATTTATTATTTCTAAACATTTAAAATTTAGCTTAAGATTAATGTTATTAACATTTAAAAATATGTATTGGTTCCTTAATTATATATTAATGGTCCCGCGTCCTCCTTTTCCAGCGTAGCTAGATATGACACGGTCACTTAAAAACATCGTATTAATGAGACACCTGGACAACAACATACTCACATGCTACTTTTAATATACTTCTATTCTTTAATTAAATACGTGTAAACTTTATTAAATAATGAGTGAGATTCAATGAATAAGAAATGTATTCATATATATTTAGTAACTTATGCAGATTTTACCCAATACTAAATGATCATGCGAGTATTAATAAATGGATTTTAAAAGTGCATTATTTAACAATTCTTCTAACATTAATTGTTTTAAATGTGATTTATTTAAAGCGCGTGTCTTGCTAATAAATAGTCTAAAGATGGTGGTTGAGATAACGATGAAATCATTTACAGTGTCAATTTAAATACATTCTTTACCTCTGAGTTACCTAAGGATTGATGAAAGGCTAAGTATCTATGCCATTGAAGTGTAGAAATATACTTCTTGTTAGTATTTTTTTAATTATAATTTAATTTTAATAATCATATATTACTCTATGAGATAAAATTTATTTTTGATTAAAAATATTATTATTTATGATACTGCATTTAAGTTTTATTAATAAAAAATAATATAAATTTTATCAAATATATTAAGTAAAATTAATTAAGATAATTTAATAAGATGTCTAGCAATTTGGGTGGTGGAGATACTGCTGCCAGTCGATTATGATGTCACTGTCACTGCACACGTTGCTGCCATTTGATTTGACTATGATTTTTGCATTTGGGAATTAGGACACACAGCACTACAGCACGACTTACGACTTAGTACTTATATTATTATTCATGTTTGCCTACTCTTTTTGGGCAATCCTCATACCATTATTTTCTCTTCAGCACACATTTGTCTCAGTAACCATCCAATACTCGCATCAGCTTCTAAACCACTCATCTTTCCTCGTCCACCCAACCCCAGTAAGTTTAATGAACACAGCTAATTTAGGATCCCCAAAAACTAGGGGCGTTCAGGTTATTGCACATTATTTAGTCTGGTTCAGATTGAACATAGGATTAAAGTTTTATTTATTATTAAATTATTTTAATTTTAAAAATTATTTATTATTATATAGTTTTTAATCTATTTTTAAATTTAGAGTCAGTATTAGCTTAAGAATTAAAATTAATTTATTAAAAAATAAAAAAGTTAAATTACGATTAAAAAATAAAGTTATGAAAATATAATAAATTGTTGATAAAAATTCAATCAAAAATGATAATTTAAAATTATGATATAATTGAGTTAAAAAATTTATATAAAACTATAATTAATTCAATTTTAAGAATGAAAAATTAAACCAAAATACAATATTAACGTAATTTTTAATTTTAAACTTAATTGAATTTTAGTTTAATTAATTTTTAATTTTTAAAATAATTTAACAGTTTAAAAATAGTTTGGTTGGAATTTTATCACCCCTGCCGAGCAAGATCTTAACAAGAACGGTGAATCATGACCACGTGTAATGTAAGGAATTCATCAACGTTGTCTATAAGACTACAATACTGTAAGAATTTAAATTATATAAATGTATATAAATAATTTAGATACTTAACAAGAGTTTTTACCGTAAAATTATTAAAAAAAAATTAAAACTACTGAAATAGATCCTATTACAATTTTATTACGGGAATATTTTTTTTTTCTATCTAGAAAATCAAATTTTGAGTTAGTTTTTTTTATATAATAAATAAATATTATTATTTAAATTATATTTATATTTTTTTATTTTATTAAAATAAATATTTATAATATGTTATTCTAATAAATATTTATAAATATTTTATTAGTTATATATAATAAAATAAAATTTATTATTTAAATTATGTTTTTATTTTTATATTATTTAAAAATAAATAAAAATAGTAATAATATTAATTTTAAATATTTATTAAAATCACATTTATAAAAATAATAATAATAGTAATAAGTTTTATCAATGCGTAATCCACTTTAAGATGTTAACTAAATTTTAATAAACATTTAAAATTAATATTATTACTATTTTTATTTATTTTAAATAATATAAAAATAAAAACATAATTTAAATAATACAAATTATTTTATTATATATAACTAATAAAATATTTATAAAATTTATTAGAATAACATATTATAAATATTTATTTTATTATATATATATATATATATAACTAACACAGAATTTGATTTTCAGGAAACTGAATTATTGATAGAAAAAAATGAAGTATATTCCTGTAATAAAATTACAATAAGTTCTATTTTCAACAACATAAAATAATAACACATAAAATAATTTTACTGTAAAAAACTCACTTAACAACATAAAATAATAACACATATTATAATATTTAAGAATTTAAAAAAGATTTTAATTTTATTATTTTTATTCCCGCACTAATCAAATGCTCTCACCTAAACCATTCCTTCTCTTCCATGTATATTCCTTTCACTTTCACAGCCCCAATTATAAAAAAATAAAATAAAAATCATACTTTTGTGATTGATGTGAAGATTTAATTCTTTTAAACTAAATAATACCTTATAGATAATAAAATACATTTATAATTATTAATTATAAAATTAATGATTAAAATTTTATTATTTTAAAACATATTATACATGTCTACATTTTATGACTTTTTAATGTGTTTATGGGTATACTAAATAAAAATTAAAAAAATATTTTTTTATCAAAATTATAATATTTAATATATCCTCAAGAACCAAAATGATAAGCAGGTAAATTCTTTTAGGTCATAGAATCACTCGTTTAAGTTACAAGAAAATGTTTTGATAATACGTTTATAAGAAAAAATTATAGAAATAAATAAATAAATTTATTAATTTAACTCGTAAAATAAGTGAATATATTTTAAAAGGTAGAATATATAATAAAAAATAGTCCAAATGATACAAACAATCATTCTTTACAATTATATGGCTTACTCACTAGTACTCCAAAGATACTAGTTAAAGAATTAATAAATGAAAAACTAGGATAAAAATATATTAATAATGTCTTTTTAATATAAAACAACATTTTAATCTGATAACAATTGTTTGTGAATATTTCAGCAGCACCCTTTCAAACTAAGTGTATGTATTAGGAGACTTTTTGTATACAAAATTATTTCCCTTTAATATCTACCCAAAAGCAATCTGGTCGAGAACCCATGCCACTTGATAGTTGATTTTGCTATGCAGTTGTAATTGATTGATATGTATCAACTTGTATTTCACAATAATCACTTTTTGAGGTTTTTTTTTTTGTTAAGTGTATCTTATTTCCTGCGTATTATAACATTTATTTTAACTAGATACTTTGTGTTCATATTATAATTAACTCCCTTTTTATTTATCTACTAGAAAGAAAAATTAATTAATTAAAACTTATAGTTAATACTGGTAAGTTTCTTATATGTTGTTCCATTAGAAAAAGAGTCATTTGACATGATAAAAAACATATTTAAAAATATTGAAATAAATAAATTATTTTTCTCGTATATTATTACTTACAATATCAGAAAAATTACATATATATATATTCTACCGTTTTTTAATTAATTATATATAAAAATGTGAAATAGATTTATTGGGAGAAGGAGGTGGGTGGTCAAAGTAACTGATTCAAAAGCTATAAATAAACCAAAATGTGAAGTTTGTATTAATGGAGGGAAAGCTAACGGTAGACACCGCAGCCTGAAAACGACGCAGTAAATTGAAAACCGATAGACTTTACATTCAGTATTATAGATATATTTAGTATTATTTTTAAAATTTTAATTTTTGTAATCTATATAGTAAAGTTAATATATTTTATTTACATAAAATTTTAGTTTAAATTAAAGAAAGATAATAATAAAAGTAATTATGACATTATATTTAAATAATATTTGTTAAAAAAATAACTACATAATAGCAAAAATTAAAAAAAAATTTACAATGTATTAAAAGTAAGGTAGATGTCATATTTATATTAATGATCTCAAAAAATATTAGATTATCAATATACTTTGATTAAATTATAAAAATATAAGGTTTTAAATAAGTGTAATATATTATTTCAGTGACTTATTTTTTCCTGCTGAATCATAATAAAATATTTTTTTATTGTTTTAAATCTGCAGTCTCAAATTTTATAAAAAGTATATATTATTTTGTCCACTTTTAAAAGCACATCCATGCATAGAAAAAACTTACAATTAGAGATATCAATTGCTACAATGAATTCGAGATTTTTTATAAATATTTTTTAAATATATTTTAAATTGACATATTTCTAGAAGTTGTTTTGTTCTCAATTTAAATACTTTTTAAATACTATTTTTTTAAAAATTCAGTTCAATTTAAAATTTGATATATTATATCTATGCAGCGATATACTTTTAAAATAAATTTCAAGTTTAAATAATTTTATTTGAAATTATTTTTTAAATTTTTACGTACCATATTAATAAATACGTTTCCTTAAAAGTTAATATCGATTTTAATTCTGATTTTATATAATTTTAAAATTTAAAAAAATTTATTTACTATTTTATTTTTTAATATTATAACAAATTTATTATTAATAGTCAAGGTATTTAATTTTTAATTCACAAAACATGTTAAATTTAAGAACAACTATAAGAACGCATTTAAGTCAAACAGAAAAGGCCATACATTTTTAATGCCTTTATTAATGAGCATGGGCATTCCATGTAAATACGGGTGGCTGGGAAAAATAGTAATGGAATAGGTCATTCACCGTTGGTGTTTGTCATGTGCATCAAATATTAAATATAAGTTTTTTAATGTGTGATTATAAAATATATTGAAAGTTTAAAATATTTTATTGATTTAAAATTATAAAAATATTTCATGCTTATTTTATAATAATTAAAATATTTAATATAATATTTATTTATATCCTTACGTATATATTAAAAGATTATATAAAATATTAAAAATCTTGTTAATTTAACTGTTAAAGTTAATTTAAACATTTAAAAATATAAATGTTTATTAAAAATAACTAATACAATTTTTAAATTTAATATAATAAATATTATTTTTAATAAAAAATATTTAAAATAAGACAATCAAACTAAAATAAATATTAAAACAAACTATTAATTCACGCTGGTCACAAAGCAGAACACTAAAGGGCAGTTTTGACTTGTAACGAGGGAGAATGTTAAAAGCTGTTTAATTATTATTTTAGAAGTTATTTATTACTTATGAAAGTTTAAAGTATTGAATAATATATTTTATTAATATTTTATAGAGAATATTAATGAGTTTCTTTCAAATAATGTTTAAAATATCAAATTATAAAAAATGTATTTTTTATAATTTTTTATTTTATTTAAAACAACAATACATAAATGATAAATATAATTATTACTTTTATTTCATTGAAATTATCTATAAACTTCTTAAAATTTAATCTTTACTGCTATTAATCTTTTAATATATATAACCACAAAAACATTTAACACAAAACAAATTAAAAAAATAAAATATCAGCAGATTCCTACTGTTTTTCAAATATACTTATAATAGCATTAGGTGTTGAGATATGGTTATTAATTAGCTACAAATTAGTGAATTGTCAACAAACTCTTGCCTCTATCCCAACACCACTCACTGCCCTCTCTCTTCGCTTCATTATTCTCTTCATCCGTTACCTTACTATATCATTCATAGCTCTCTCTCTCTCTCTGTTTCTCATCAATGCTCAGAGCAACCCATTACTCGAAGATCTGATCATCGTTTCGCAAACCCTTTTCGATCAAAATGGGAAGCAAATGGAGAAAAGTGAAGCTTGCTATTGGGATCAACATGTGTGTTCAAGTCCCTGAAACTGTTGAACATTCCTCCGCCTCCATCCCCTCCGCCACCACTTTTTCCGACTGTGTTTCATCCTCCGTCCATTCCTCCGGTTACCGTTCACTCACTTCCACATCCTCTTCCTCTACTCTCCGACTCTCCAGATCCCAATCCAAATACTACAAGGTTTGCATTACCCATTAACCTCTTCCACCTTCATCATACAAAGTTACACTCTTTTTTATTACCCTTCTCTTAATTCGCTTTTTTTTTTTTGCTTTAGATTTATCGTTCTAGATTCTGATTTCACTTTTTCAGTACATGGGGTCTGAAGATCATTCATTCCAATTCTTTTTTTTAAGGCGTGAGGGAGGTTACGGGTTAAGATATATAAAAAAAGCAAATTTTTATTAAAAGTTTAATTATTTAATGTTATCAAAGCATTATTTAATGTGATATTTTATTTTTTAATTTAATATTTTGGGATTACAAAAAAGATAAGCTAAATGTTAAATAGTAAAATAGGCATTAATATATCTGATTCCAATCACTGTTTAGTTGTTTTTTTCTTCTTCTTTTTGTTTTGGCCTTTCTATTGGCTTAATCCTAATATCAGAGTTTGACGTATCTGACTGTTGCGGTGTTGCTTTCGTCTCCATTACTTTGTGTACCATTTGAGGACCAGTTGCTTAGTTGGAAATGATTTGGATCGACAAAAAATAAATTTTGGGGACCCTATACTAATAATGATGGGTTTTGCTGCAATGAATTTTTTTTGGGGATCTTCTAACTCGATGATATTAAATAATAATCTGGACGAGAGCATCCAAACTTATATGGGAAAAGAGGTGCATTGCATTTGAAGCCCTTGTTTTCTGTACTTTTCATGTCTTTCCATGTTTTGCTGAGCACTTTCATGTCTTTTCATATTTTGCTAATTCCCAAGTGCATCCCCTCCATGAAGAGTCAAACACCCTTTAACCGTTGATTGAGAAAATTGAACCTTTGTGAGCAATGAATGAATAAGAATCATCTTTGATTTGTCCTCCTTTTGATGACGTTTTTATTTTACCATTATTAATTGATTTCTCGAAAGGTTCAATGTTACAGTTGCAATTTGCCTTTGCCTTTCTGAAAGTTCTTTGCCGATTGTTTATTTTTCCCTTTGATTATGCTTGATCACTGTTTGTCTTTGACCACTTAACGTTGACTTTTTTTAAAAAAAATTTTGTAGAATTGCCTAGGAATCCTCGAATGTTGGTAATTGGGCATTCTATTTCTACATCTATTCCATCTTTTTATGCACTGGACTTAGTGGACCTGCATTGAGTCGAGACACAAAGGGGGCCAGTGTTGGACAATAATGTAATTTTGCATTTGTATATGAATACTTTATTGAGGCATTGCTCCGATTGGCGGTTTTAAAAAACAGTTTTCTAAATCAAAATAAAAAGATATTAAATAATGAGATTTGATATTTTAAAGTTTAAACAATATTTAATACAGTTATTAGGGAATTATAATATTTTAATAAAAATATAAATATTATTTTTAAAACTTGCCCTGGGTTTTCTTTTTTCTTTAAGCTTGACTAATGAAGCATTGGTCTTGAAGCCATGGCCTTATCGATGGTCATTCACTCGTGTGACCACTTTTTCCTCTAGTGATTTTTTTGTTTGATAATGATTGTAATTAAAAATCGCCAATGCATAAATGAGAGAAAATAATAGATGATGTGAACGAGTACTCGAAAAACGAGTTGTGAATGAAGAAAAAAATATTGTATTTTGTCAATCACCTGTATATACTTTTCAGCTTCACTTTTTAATTTCCCTCCTACCATAATTAATTATAGGTATAGTATCAAATAGCTTTGCAGACAATGTTATCACTACCATAGGTGAGATTTATGTGGTGGTGTAGTGACCAGATGTTGCTACTGTTTGAGCTACCTCTCAAGTCTCAAACATATTTTTAATAGTGTTCTAGATGACATCAACTTGGTTGATTTAGCTAAGCCAGTATCAAAAAATGGTTAGAGATTCACATTTCTATGTAAAGTTGTAGACTTCTAGTTGACATCAACATATCTCTTTAACTCTTCCTCCCTCTTGGTTCAAGGGAAGTTTGTAGAATCTTGTTTGACATCTACTACGAAATTTGTTGATAAAATTCCATCATTGTGTTCTATATCTTGTATTTCAATCATGCTAAATGCCATATTAGCACTTATTACTTTCCTCACATTTTTTTATGCATTATCTGCAGGGGACATGTGCAATATGCCTGACTTCAATGAAAGCAGGGCAGGGACATGCCATTTTTACTGCAGAATGTTCTCATTCTTTCCATTTCCATTGTATCACAATCAACGTAAAACATGGGAATCATATTTGCCCAGTATGCAGAGCAAATTGGAAAGAGGTTCCTTTTCCGAATCCTGCTTCTGATGTCTCTGGTATCCTTCAGAGGATTCCTTCTCAACAAGTTGGTACAAGTAGATCAAATTCATCAATCAATAACATTCCTGAGCCAGCTATATTTGATGATGATGATGAAGTCTTGGATCAACAAACTTCAATTACCCCCATCACGAATGAGGTTGATCACAGCATAATAAGCACAATGGAGATCAGAACATACCCTGAAGTTTCGGCTGTTGCAAAGTCAGACTCTCATAATAACTTCGCTGTGTTAATTAATCTCAAAGCTCCTCCTCGCTCAGGGATAGAACAAAGCAATGACACAAACGACACTAACTCATCGTCCTCTTTGGCTCAAAATTCTCGTGCTCCAATTGATCTTGTAACAGTTCTTGATGTGAGTGGTAGCATGTCAGGCACAAAGATAGAACTAGTAAAACAAGCTATGAGTTTTGTCATACAGAATCTGACTTCATCAGACCGGCTTTCTATCGTTGCCTTCTCCTCCACCGCACGCCGCGTCTTTCCTCTTAAGAGAATGACTGATGCTGGAAGACAGCAGGCATTGGAAGCAATTAATTCTTTGATTCCATGCGGTGGAACAAGCATTGGTGAAGGCTTGATGAAAGGTGTCAAAGTGTTTGATGACCGCAGATGGAAGAACCCAGTTGGAAGTATCATATTACTATCTGATGGACAGGATACATGTAGAGGCTATGAAAGGTCTGACGCTAGACCTTATTACGAGACACTTGTTCCTTACTCCATTCATCGTAGTAATTATGATGGTTTGCATATACCAGTGCATGCATTTGGCTTTGGTGCTGACCATGATCCTATTTCAATGCACACAATATCTGATATATCTGGGGGTACTTTTTCTTTCGTTGAAGCTGGGGATGTGATTCAGGATGCATTTGCACAGTGCATTGGGGGACTCTTGAGTGTGGTGGTTCAGGAAGTAAAGGTAGAAGTTGGGTGTGTTCACCCTAGTCTGCAACTTGGTTCAGTAAAAGCAGGAAGCTACCAAACTAGTTTGACTGACGATGCAAGAATGGCAACAATCAAGGTAGGAGATTTGTATGCTGAGGAAGAAAGAGACTTTTTGGTGACAGTCAGTGTTCCAGTTGATAAGTCTAGTGATGAGATGCCTTTGTTGATAGTTAAAGGTGTTTATAGGGACCTCATCACAAAGCAAATGGTGGGTTTTGGAGACAATAGTGAAGTGAAAATTCAGAGACCTGATGTAGCTAGTGATGTAGTTGTGTCAATAGAAGTAGACAGGCAGCGAAACAGGCTTAGAGCTGCTGAGGCAATGGCTATGGCTAGAGTTAGAGGTGAACGTGGTGATTTGGCTGGTGCAGTTTCTGTTCTAGATAGATGTCAGGCTTTATTGTGTGAAACTATGTCTGCTCTAGCTGGTGATCCACTATGTGTTTCTCTTTCTGCTGAACTAAAGGAGATGATGGATAGAATGGCAAACCGACATGTTTATGAGCAATCTGGAAGGGCTTATGTTCTGTCAGGATTGAGCTCTCACTCAATGCAAAGGGCAACTGCAAGAGGTGATTCCACAGAAAGCACAAGTTTTGTCCATGCATACAGAACCCCTTCTATGATAGACATGGTTACCCGTTCCCAGACCATGCTTTTGAGGACTCCATTATCTGGAAGTAGCACCCCTAGATCTACTAGATCCTATTCTGACCGGCAAAGAAGAAAATGATAATGAAAACTGTGTTTTAAGAATTTCTGCTCAGCCTTATACATACTCATATTTCTGTGGAGAACTTTTAAGTTTCTTGTTTTACCTTGTGTTTTATTATTCCCTTTGGTTTTGGCAAGGTGGGGGGTTATAATGGAAAGTGGAAAGGAATGAGTTCTGACTAGTAATTATTTGTTTTTAGTTGAATAGTACATTTTTGGAGAGGAGGGTATAGCAATGTTACAGTGGAGATTTCTTCATTGCTTTACATATCTACTATATACTTCTGATTCTTTTATTAGTAATGCGCCTTCTTTTGCTCTGCTTGTCTCATTTAGTTATATGCAATTCTGTTTCTTCCAGGTGTATCAATGGCTTGACAGGTTTCATTAGTAAAATAGTATTCTGTTTTAGGTGATTCATTTCGAATCATGCACAGCATGGGATTTCATATACCAGCCACATATAAAATATATTATGTTTGATTCATTACAAGAACCAGCGGTTTTGGATTCTAAATCGATAAAATTATAGCAAAATAATCATTTTGATTTATCTTAAAAAGTCCACTTTGATTTTGAAAAATTTAAATTCACTTTACTATCGCATGTGTTTAGAGACATGCTAGAAATAAATTATAAAAATAATTGAAATCAACTTTACCTTTTCAATGTTTTTTTTTCATACATATATTCGGAAGTTAAATCTGGTCAACATGTTTAAGGGACTAACTATTTATAACTTGGTCAGACTTTATTAGTGCTAACTGGGATTAAGAAAAAAATGGTTCATTGAAAAATGTTTATATTGCACAGTGAATCATGTAAAAGTTGATATACGTGTCTACGTTGATTGCAATAAAAATCAATTTAAAGATTATGGACTTAATTTTTTTAAAAATTTATTTAAAGGGTAGCTTATTTAAGTATTCTTAATAAACAAATAGGTATATGCTAGTAAAATCCATAGCTAAATAAATCAGAAAAACGCCAATTTATTATTTGTTTTTTTAATATTATAAATTTAAATTTTATTTTATAAAAATACTTTTTATAACTTGTTTTCCTTTCATACTGTTATATATCTCATCATTTGTAATTTATAATTTTATATAAAATAAAATAATTTTTTTATTTTAATATTTATTAAATAAAAATATTTTTTACTTCTTCAGTTATTTTGAATCTAATGACACTTATATTATTTAATAACTTTTACAAAAAAAAATTATTAGATAAATTTTATAAAGTTTCATAAAAAAATAAAATAAATATCAAATTTTAAATAATATAAGTGTAATTTGACATTATATATATATATATATATATATATATATCAGTCTTATATATTCGTACCTACATGGTGTGCCGTATACTTTCTAGTTTTAATTTCTTGTCCACAGAAAAAGTTACGAAGCAACAAAAGCCTAACCAGGGGAAGACAGGCCCAATACAAGCCCACCATTAGAAAAGACAAAACCTGGAAGGAAGAGATAACTGGCGAAGCCTCGCTGTTCTTTTTTATTTTTCGGTTGTTTTTGTGCCGACACTCTTATTATGCACTTAAAGCTTTCAAGTGGGCCCATAGCGACAAACAGGCAGATCATTGGGACCAGCGCCTCGTGCTCTTCTTATTATTTAAATGCTAAAAACTATTTTGTTTTTGTAGTTTCATGTTTTTTTTTAATTTATCTTCTATATTTTTTTCTATCAATAATATTTTTATGGGGATAAAGTAATATAAAAAAAATAGCATTACACTCTTAAATGACACACAAAAAAAAGAGTTTAGTGATGCGAAAAAGTATAAAAAAATTAATTATAAAGACAAATAATTATGTGAGAATAAAATATAATTTGTTCCAAAACATATTAAAAATAATTCTGTCAATCCAAACATAATTCAAGTTAATATATACATAATTTATAGAAGTCCTCCTCCTAGCCAAGAAGACCAAGGAGAAAGAGCCCTTTTATTTGATTTATTTCTTTTTCCTTTCTCACTTTTTTCTCATGGAATAAACTAATATTGCAATTGACATAGCCTAATGAATTAAATTTTATACACATGTTCATATAATTCTTGCACCAATAGTTGTTAGAGGGGGGAAAAAGAGAGAGTCTACTATTTGAAATGTAAATGTTGTAAAAATAACGTAACAATTTTTTTTCCCAATGTTTTCGTGACAACTTTGTGTCTATGATGGCTCACCTTGACCTTGGAAATGTGCTTATAGATGAGCATGTGATACATTTTAGATTCGGATTATCAGAAATTGAAGGTGTTAGAGGGTCCCTGTCTCAAACAAAGAAGTTGTTTTCAAAGAGGTGGTAGACTAAATGGTTTCTTTTTGAAGCCTAATTTCCTTTCTTTTTTTGTGTGGATAAGCTTTCTAAAATATAGACCAATCAAAGTTTGTTGAGCCATGCACTTTTCTACTTCTCCAAAATATCATTTGTAATATGTTCCTTTCCATTTGTGAAAAAGTTAACTAAAATATAGGTAAAGGTAATGTCATGTATGCATGATCAAAACATGCAGCTTAGTGAAGATGAGTTCCCTCCCATAGTCCCATTACTCTAAAATTTCACCTACTTTTCCCTTTATTTTATTTTACTTCACAGAGCTAGTTATAATAAGTAACATGTTCACAAAAACTAGCATCATACTTTTAGACTTCAGTACATTCTCTGTCATCAAGCAAAATTTATATTGATTCTGGCCCCACTATTAGAATGGACTAAAGTTATTTAGTAGAAGCATTTGGAGAGTGCTATAGTATAGTAGCATTCGTACTCTAAAAGTAACATCCACTGACTCTGCTAGATATAATAATTAGCCTTTGCCTTCTCTGAGACACTAATCATTCTGCTTTGACTTTCCTGTTTGAAGCTGTCTTGGTAAGCTATGATTTGCACTCTCAGACGAAACTCCTCATTCTCAAGAGTTTGCAAGGGAAACTAGGATGTTTTCTTTTGGTAGTTGTCAAGTTCATTCCATTTGTAGGCAAAAGAAGTTCTTGTAGTTCAGTGCATATATTTATTATATGATGTAACAAACCATCGATGAGTTTGCATGTATAACTTCTCCTATTGTATCTGTTATGTTTAGGCATATATCAGTTGTGGGTTGATGTTCAATTATGGATCCGTGAATATAGTTTCTATTACTCATCCTACTTTAACTGTCCTATGCTACTACTCAGTCAATATAGTTTCTAATTGTGTCATTTTATCTTTGTTTTTTCAGTACTTTGGTGCTTAGGGTGGATAGAATATCCTTAGCTCAATTGTTTGTTGGCTAAAAGTTCATTTCTTCTTTCTTACTGATTCTACCTTATTCACACACAAGGCCCACAAAATTGAGGTCAGACAAAGAAGTTCACATCTACTTATTTAGTATGAAATGATTCCCATTCATTTTTTCTTTTTTGCAGCATATGGATACCTGGAAGGCTGGAACTAAAACCTGGGGGGTGCTGTTTCCTATTTTTATCTGTACATAAGGTAGAATCAGTATTTATAAAATCTTTATCTGTTTGATCCACGGATGAAGATTTTACTCAGGAGAATTGAAGATTGAGTTTGTCCCCCTTCACAGGTTCACCGCTTGATGCCAAGATTTGTGTAGAACTAAATGTTCCTTACTTCCTTTCCTTTACGTGCTTTGTATAGGTTGCAATATATGAGGCCTCAACTCAATATTGTTGTGGCTCTTGTTATTAGCTTGCTCTGGATTCAGCACTCAATTTGTGGTTAGTATAATAATTTATAATGCATTTGGTACTTGACTTTTATGCTGTTACCATTAGTATACCTTGTGTATGATATTGTTACATGTTGCTTCTCATTCATAGGTTGAAGCCAAGTGAGCCATAATACTTCCTATTTTTCTTTGTTGCATGATATTGTTACTTGTTATCAACAGATGAACCTTCTGATACTGGCCTAAACAAGTGGAAATGCAGATGCTCTTCTATCCAAGGGAAACATAAATATTCTCTTGCTAATTGTTCCAAGTCATGTGATTGCCATTCAGGTATACTGGTAATTCTTTATTGGCATGACGACTGTGAGCCTTATGCTTATAGTGTGTTGATAAAAGTTTCCTTTGTTAGTAAATTTAATTTCTATTTATTGAAGGCATTTTCATGGTAGATTTCCAAAAACTAAGTGGATAAAACATGTTAGTCACGGGTCAAAAATCTCCAAATGTAATTTGTAAAATTTCAGGTTTAAAACATTGGCACTTTAACATGAAGAACTCTATCCAGCCAACATTTTAGTTTTTTGAGTTGGGAGAGTAGAGTTGTGGTCATTAATTGATATGCTTAAGGTAGGAATGGTGTATGTGTTTCCTACTTAGGTGAAATAGGGAGATTGTAGTTACAAACAGATATGCTTATGAAAAAAATGCAATATTTGTTCACCATTTTAGGTGACAAAGGGAGACTGTGGTCACATCCTGAATATTTTTTGGTAACTGTTTTACCTTTCCATTTAGATGCTGAAGAGAGTGCATCCATATGGACATGCATATGTGGTCCGAATGGGTTTCCTAAAGTGAAAGCAAATGGACATAACCTTAGTTGCTTTAATGCCTGCAACTGCACCTCGGGTAATTTTCCTTCTTTCTCTTTTACTTTCATCTTGAAATTTCACTTATTGATGCTTTCCAAAATTGATTTAGATGGACAAACGCTAAACCAGTTATTATTATGCGAAAAGAAAAAAAATGCATATTTATATATGCAAAAGACTTGATTTAAATTGCAGTTGCATTGTAATTATAGAAATTGTGCTTGATGCAACCGCTATCATGGTATTGAAACTTCCAAAACTGCAACATTTGGCCCACAATTTCAATTTCTTTAAAACCATTCTGAACTCTCAATAATGGAGGTTTAAAACAAAAATTTCCCATGACATATATGAAGAATGATTTTCTCTTCAACATATTTGTGTCTTATTGGAGATGGCATAAATCCATGCCTTCTTATAGAAATTCAGTAGCATTTTTTCAGATCAAGATATTCAGAATAGTTTATGATTTTTAGTGTTCTGCAGGAACTATCAGGATGCCACTAGGTTCAACTTCAAAGAAACAAATTTCAAGCAATATTGTAGTAGTTATTTTATCAATTTGTGTTATATGCACAACTATTGCATTTCTTACCTCAGTTGTATGTCATGTATGGCGGAGGGAGAGATGTCCTAGTCAATCACCAATGATATCATCAGACAAGGAAACAAGTTACAGTAGTACCACAAACTTAATTAGTCACAGGACTTCTTCAGTTCCAGAAGCAAAAATTTCTATAAATTCTTCTATCAGTCATATTACAGGTAAGTTGGTTTTGCGTTCATTATTCTTTGGAGTCTAATTTCTTAGTTGAAGTGCATTTGTTTCAAGCTAGATGTCCAATTTTATCCACAAGCTCCAAAGTTCTGTTTCAAACAAAAGTAGTGCTATTTTGCCATTATGCTTTGGTTCTTAATTACCCTTTTCTATTTATTTATTTAGGATGCTTTCGGAGGGCCTCTTTCTTGTTTGGGAGCCAAAGAGAAACCTTTCATGGAAATATCATTCAATTTTCGTTTGCTGAACTGGAAAATGCCACTGAAAATTTTTTGGCCTCCAACCTAGTTGGACTAGGTGGAAGTAGTTATGTATACCGTGGCCGGTTGAAAGATGGTAGCTATGTGGCAGTCAAGAGACTAAAAGATCAAAGAGGGCCTGAAGCAGACTCAGAATTTTTTACAGAGGTTGTACATAATCGTGGTCCAGTTTTCTTTGGTTGGTCATGCTATAGTATAATGTTCCATAGTGTCTAGAAGAAAAAACGAAAAAATTATGATCCGAAAACACTCTTTTGTTTGTTCAGATTGAACTGTTGTCTAGACTTCATCATTGTCATCTGGTGCCATTGGTGGGATACTGCTCAGAATTAAAAGGAAAAAATGTTCAAAGGTTACTAGTGTTTGACTACATGACTAATGGAAATTTGAGGGACCGCTTAGATGGAATTTTTGGAAAGAAAATGGATTGGTCTACTCGCGTTACAATTGCATTAGGAGCTGCAAGGGGGTTGGAGTATCTTCATGAAGCAGCTGCCCCAAGAATTCTGCACAGAGATGTCAAATCCACAAACATTCTTCTGGATAAAAATTGGCAAGCAAAAGTACTAGTCTTGGTTGTCTATATGGTTCTAACTTCAAACAAATGGATAATTGCTTAAGAAAAGACAATATAGCTTGATACACGTAGGAATCTAACCAAGTAAACATGGCTTGAGCCTGTAATAAGACAGTGAAAGCAAATTCTAATTTTAGTGGTTTTAACATCTTTGTGCTGTGAAGTTTCTTTTGTAAATTTACGTTAAGTATGTTTCTTGGAGAAATATAAAGTTAATGATTAAACTTTAAGTTTTATTAGTCACTTAAATCATGTGTGCTTTTATAATCCTTTCAAATAATCAATATGCAGATAACTGATCTTGGTATGGCTAAAAACTTGAGAGCTGATGACCACCCTAGTTGTTCAGATTCTCCAGCAAGAATGCATGGAACATTTGGCTATTTTGCACCTGAGTATGCAATTGTTGGGAGAGCCTCTCTTGAATCAGATGTCTTCAGTTTTGGAGTGGTTCTTCTTGAACTTATTAGTGGTCGGCAACCTATACTTAAATCTGCAGGCAAAGAAGAAAGCCTTGTTATATGGGTATGGGTATTGTAAAATTAATTATCCATTATTACACTAAACCTCAATTTGTTCTTATTTGGAGGATTTTCCATGTCCTCAATTTGGTGCTCATATATACTAACATGTAGTTTGGATGATTGAGTTTACTGATAATTACCTGCATCAGTTTGAACTTCCTGCATAGCTTGCTTAATGAATCTATTATTCTACTAAGAAAGAGATTATGAACCTTAAATATTGAAATATATGGCTTAACTACTTCTGTTTTAGGCTGCTACTCGCTTACAGGACAATAGGCGAGTAATTACTGAGCTGGCTGATCCACAATTGAAAGGAAACTTCCCAGAAGAAGAGATGCAGATAATGGCATTCTTAGCAAAAGAGTGCTTGCTTTTGGATCCTGACACTCGACCAACTATGAGTGAAGTTGTTCAAGTTCTTTCAAGTATTTCCCCAGGAAAATCTAGAAGGAGAATAAACATTCCAATGAGCATTTTTCAGGTCCACACATTCACTGTCATGACCTTATTTCTTAACTGGAGTGTTCTAGTTTGAACATGTTTCTTATTTTTCACAATCTTTGGTTAATTTATGTTTTGTTTGTCTGATTGTTACTTTACATCAATCAACTGCCAAACCATCAGCCCATAGCACACAAAATGAACCATATCTCATTTTTATTTTCCTTTTTCATTTCTGGACATGTAAAGGAACCGGAGGATGCAGAGAAGCAAAGGCAAGCTCCATCGAGTAGATTTTTAGCTCATAATTTATTGCCATTGGGTGTTGACCACAATTTTCATGTTGGTAATGAAAATAAAGATGTATATATAGCTTCATTGGGGCATATGGAGAGTTTGATCCTCTCAACTTCAAAAGGTGAAAGCCTGCATGCATCAGAAGACGAAATGGTAGATTTAACCGAGCCTCGTTTTGAATCATTTTTCATGACCAACGTTAATTTCCCTTGATAACATGCTCCTGAATGATGAGCAAAGAAGCAGAGAGCACAAGTCTGAAGAATAAGGAATTTATATTGTGAATTTGTGACTGCTGGTGCAGTCAAATAATCAATATTGTGTATGGTTCAGTCCTATAGGATGCAATCAGATGATGAGTTGTGAATATGGCTTTTCATTTTACTTTAAAAGGCCTTTCACATAGGTGTTGCTTTAAATATGACAGAAATAGATTTGTTGTACAGAAATGCATAGGTGATGTTGCTGGTTGTACTTTATCTGGAGAAGAATCGGATGTGATACTTGTACAGTAAAATTAAACTTGCAATGCTATTTTGCAGTAGCATTGAAGTTTGAACCAATTGAATTGAACTTATTACAGCCCACAAACCTAAATTAAATTTTAATTTTTCTAAACTGTGCAAGATTGTTCATAATAATCTATTTTATTAAAAAATATAAAATTCAATGTATTGATGTTATCAATTGATTAGGTTTGCTGACTTCAAAAGATATTCATAAAGCCAAGACATTTGTTTATTGGTATCTATCTGTCTTTTGATAACATGTAGTTCTTGCCTTACTGGTGTGAGTGTTAACCAATCAAAGGGGATTGATAACACGTGTCAACAGATAGACTCATCAGCCATGAGGTTATCTACATCACTACATTCTCTTATCTTCTGAGTTAAAGAAATTGGAATTGTTGTCAGTGAGTACCTTCTAAAGAGTTTATATGTTAGTTGGGATTTGAATGGTAGATGTGAAGTGTAATTGTGGAATGGATGGTTTGGACTAGTACATGCATGTTACATAATACGAAACCTATGTAACTGAGTGGTAGAAAAGTGATGGATCCACCTCCATCTCCACCTCCACCTCCAAGCACACCGTTGCTAAGTCCAGCTCCACCTGGTGGAGGGTTCTTGGATTCATGGTGAGGAACTTTAACTTCTCTTTACTTAATTAAGTTTTGCAAATGCATATTAAACTAAGCAATTCTTGGTTTGTTGTTTTGGTTTTATTTTATGTCTTCCAGCTTATGGTTTATGTGTTGCTGTGGTCTATTTAGTTGCTGCTTTCCTCCCCTCTTCGAGCCAGGACCTCCTCCTCTCTAATGTTCGCTCCATTGTTTTAGGATTTTCCTTTTCTATGATCCATGCCACAGGGGATAAGACTATTTTGTCAATCTTATAGTTGTATTTCTCATGTTAATCTGTGTCCGGGTTGAAAATAAATTCAATTTCTCCATCGGGTATGTCTCTTATAGATTATTTGAAGGAAAAAAGGTCATTTTCCATCCTCCCCAAGGATCAGCATTATGATTGTAAATTAGTGTTTGTTTGGTTTATATTTTAATAGAACTAATTTTAAATTATGGTTCTCGACAATTCGCATTGTGGTGAGTCGCAACATCAATGGCCACGAGAATGGTTTTATACTCAACTTTGGTTGAAGGTTGGATTAAACTTGATTTGGTTACAGAAACAATGGACATAATAATTTTTATTAACTGAATAATTATTTCCAAGAAATCATATAACTAGAAATAACTTAATGTATCAAATAATCTTTTATCCAAAGCGTCCCTCGTAATGCCAATTTCCCTTTTAATAGAAATGAATTCAGACAGATGACTCACTAATTTACTTATAATACTTCTTTTGATTGGTAATATTAAAAAACAAATTAATTAGTAGATCAATGGCTATTCAAACTTTAGAAGAAGAACTTGACATAGAAAGAAGATTCAAAGAAGAGAAAAGTTAAAAGACAGAATCCAATTTCAGAACTGAATATCTCTTATTAATCTTTTGCTCCTGTGACACTGTAACCCCCACACAGAATCTCTTGGGGTGGAATTGGAATTTTAACCCAACTTGGAGATGAAAATTTTACAAATTTTGAAAATCTTCATTAAAGAAAGAAAATTTAAGCCTCGATTATCTCACTCATTAGTCATTGCCAATTTTTATTATTATTGTTTCGACAGCCGTTCCCTGCCAGCAATTTCTTTTAGACAAAAAAATCTTATTGCAAATTTAATCAATTTTAACTCTTTGTGTAGCTAACGATTTTGAACTATAAAAAATAATTTCACACCGTTGACCATATAAAAATTAAAGTGTTAAAAAATTGAGTATAGAGGGTTATTCTCCCTTGTAACCTTAATGTTTCTCTTAGTTTGAAAGGAAAGAAATAAAAAGAAATTAGGAATAATAATATTTTTTTTATTTAGTTAAAAAAATAATTTTGAAAATAAAAATTATTAGTTTTTATTTAGTTAAAAGGTGTGAAGGTGAGGGAGCATTGAACGCCAGTTGTAGCAACCTGAGCTGGGCGAGTGGATGTGGTGAAGTGTGAGTTACAAGGAAGGAACACGTGTCCAGATTCCATTGCAGCGTACTAACGCAGTCAACTCTTCCTCGGATCGTTCGCACGTTAAAATATGTGAAAGAGATACCAATTTCTATCTTACTCTCTCTCTCTCTTTCCAACTAACCTGTTGCCTGTTTGGTTTACCTAAACTGGTACGACCCTATATGATTTATTGAGGATGAAAATTATTATGATTTCTCTTAGTTGTTTATAAGATAAATATTTTTATTTAAGTAAATTAATTATATTTTATTATTTTATTTAAAACGAAGTTATTTATTTTATGAGATAATTTAAAGAAATTCAAATAATGAATATACAAAATAAGGTGTGGATAAGTGTAACAATGAAGCATAAATCTTATTTTCCCCTACTTCATTGGTAATTGCCAACATGTCAAACATCAACGTTACATTAAAAAAACTGGCATTTGTTTTATTTTATTTTTAGTGTTGTACTTGTTCATTTATACGTTAACTTCCTTGCATTAGTTTTTCCATTAGGATTATTTATACGTTTTTTCTAAATAAATCTCTGTTTGACATGTTCTGCTACATTTAAGGGAAGAGTGACAACTACTAGGAAATGAATATACTACTCTTTATCACTCACTCTGCAACTGGTTCTACTTTGCCTTAATGACCCATCTGTTTTTCAATCCTCAAAGTGGTTTCTAGTTTCAATGAAGAAAACAATACTGGAGCTGCAGATGTGAGAAATTGATTTAATGAGACATGTCTTTGCTTGAAGCAGAGGGAAATGCTCGGGAATCTGTCTCTCCTTTACAATCCTTTTTAGTTGGAACAGTTGTAAGAAACCAAATTTAGCTTTTGTTAGCATCTTCTTTAAATGCTTTTGTGGATCTACACTATGTTGCTATAACTAGTATTCAGAGCAGCTGTTGGATATCCAGTAACATATTTGATAAGAATACAAGTGTCAATGATTAAAAATTTGACATTTGATGTGATAAGTACAGTTGCGGAGTTTATATATATGAACTTATTCTCTGCCTTTACGTAACGAATTTGTTTTTATATTAAGCTAGTAAATTGGAGAACCTTTCTAATGCTTCATCTCCAAGTTGTGTTCTATTCCATTGTTCTCAAAATATTCATCATTGGTCAAACTCGGTTGTTAAATGTCCAACATTCTTTAATGATTGATTTAACAACTGATAGCTGTGATTTAAGATTTAACACATTTTCCTTGATCCCTAGATTCAAAATTTTGATTGAAGAGAAGTTGATACTTGTGGAAAATTGACATGGGTTTTGGTCATTCAAGATCTGAAAGGTTTGTTTAGTTACAAGCTATTTAGTACTTGTTTGGACTATACTGAACTTCTATGCTAGTCCTCAACAATCATATGCATGCTTTGAGTGACTCAATGAATCCATTTTTCATAATTTATTAACTTTTGATTCCAAGTTTCATATTTCAGGTTTGAAGATGATCCTGAACAAGCAAAAGTTCCTTCAAACAAGGGTGACAATGGGATTAAGATTAAATACCACATTGATGGAACACAAATACCCAAGTCTAGTTCCAAAATGGCTCAAAAGAAGGTGACAAGGAAGAAGTTCTTGCAAGCTAGAGTGTTGTCAAGAGTATTCTCAGAGGACTACGAACGAGTAAAGAGAAAAGTATTGGATCCTAGGGGACAAACCATTCAGCGCTGGAACAAGATTTTCTTGGTAGCATGTATAGTATCTTTGTTTGTGGACCCTTTGTTCTTTTATTTGCCAATGGTTAGAGATGAAGCATGCATTGATGTTGAAATAACTCATGAAGTGATCCTCACATTGGTGAGATCGGTGGGGGATTGCTTTTACTTGATTCAGATTTTGATGAAGTTTCGCACAGCTTATGTTGCTCCTTCTTCCCGGGTTTTTGGTAGGGGTGAACTTGTTGTAGGCTATTCTAAGATTGCATTTAGGTACCTCCGAAAGGGTTTTTGGTTAGATTTTGTTGCTGCCTTGCCCCTTCCTCAGGTGCCTTGTTGAAAAGTTTCTTTATTATATTATAAGCAAAATTGTGTTTGCTTTGACATGCTAAATATGCTATTATGTTATGTTTATTGCAGGTGTTAATTTGGATTGTTATCCCAACTCTTAAGGGCTCAACCATGGCAAACACAAAAAATGTCCTTCGCTTTTTCATCATTTTCCAATATTTGCCGAGGCTATTTCTGATTTTTCCACTTTCATCACAAATTGTGAAAGCTACAGGGGTTGTGACACAAACAGCATGGGCAGGGGCTGCTTACAACCTGATGCTTTACATGCTGGCAAGCCATGTAAGTGGATGAAACTCTTATAAAAGGCCTATACATTAGTCTGCAAAAATAAAATAAAATGAGCAGAGCAAGAAATACGCTCTTTAATGTACTTTTTTTTTATTGTTAAAATGTCTCACGAGTAATGAATATAGTTAGAGTATTTCTTGTATGGCTTGGATAATCCATTTTTTTTAATTAACTTTTGAGAGTAAGTTAGGCCTAAGTTTTCTTGAACTAATCAGTTGAAACTTAAAAGAATTAAAGTCCCAAACTTAATTACTCATACCTTTTTTGTTTTTTTCAAATGGGAAATATTCTAAAAAGATTTTAGGAGCTTGCTGGTACCTTCTATCAATTGAACGTCAAGAAGCATGCTGGAGAAGTGTGTGCAATCTAGAGAAGTCATTTTGTGAATATGGATTCTTTGACTGCCACAGGGTTAAAGATGCCCTAAGGATCTCTTGGTTTGTAGCAAGTAATATCTCGAATTTATGCTCACCAAATGATAACTTTTATCAGTTTGGTATATACGCTGATGCCGTGACTTCCCAAGTTACATCCTCTGCATTCTTTAATAAATACTTTTTCTGTCTGTGGTGGGGCCTAAGAAATCTGAGGTAAATCTTATGCACCCTTGTACCTTGTTACCATCTCTACCCTTGAGTTAAGCACTAATAATTATATAATGACCTTGCTAACATTTTAATCTTTCAGTTAGAAACCTTGATAAAATGCTGCCCATGACTAGTACTCTTATTCCTTTAGCATTAATGGTTTTCTGATTGGAGGGTGCAGCTCTTTGGGACAAGGCCTTCTTACTAGTACTTTTGTTGGAGAAATCATGGTGGCCATTGTTGTTGCAACCCTTGGATTAGTTCTTTTTGCGTTGCTAATCGGTAATATGCAGGTAAGGGCGATTAAAGTACGTTTCTTTAAGAATGTTTTGAAAATGTGAAAATGTATTTCCCATACTTCTATTGTTAAGATTGAAAATCAGCGAGCACATCTGTGTGTAGAGTGCATAGTAGGAAGTCTTAATTAGCAAAATTAGAAAATGATAAATGCATTTTAAGCAAGAAACTTGTCCTCCAAAAAGTTTAATAAAGAACTTCTTAAAAAATAAAATAACATAAGCTGACTTTAATTTATGGGAAGAGTTTTATTTATTTTAGAACTTAAACTTTTGATTTTATAAATACTTATTAAGAAATTGTGCCTAAATTGAGATTATTAACAAGGCATACTAATAGAAGGTGAATTTTGCAGACATACCTGCAATCAACTACTGTTCGCTTAGAAGAGTGGAGGGTGAAAAGAACTGATACAGAACAATGGATGCATCACAGGCAACTACCTCCAGAATTAAGAGAGTCTGTGCGTAAATATGATCAATATAAATGGTTGGCTACACGAGGAGTAGATGAAGAATCTCTTCTCAAAGGACTTCCCGTCGACCTTCGGAGAGACATCAAGCGCCACCTCTGTCTTGATCTAGTTCGAGGAGTACGTACTATGAGACATCAAATTTTACTTCTTTACAAGATAGTTCAGCTAAATTCATATGCATGATTACATCTAGAAATCACGGATAAAACATGAAACATACATTTACGATACAAATATATTAAAAAAATGAAAAATTTCAAAAAGAAATGCTAACAATCTTCTAGTCACACTCTTCAGTATACTGTATATAATTCATCATCAAAATATTCATCTAATAAATTACAAGAAATGTGTTGAAAAGTACATTAATAAATCTATAGAACTAGAAGTTTACCCGTTATCTAAAATCATTCATGCATATTAGTAATTAGTGATAGTACTACAATTGAAGTTAATTATGAAATAACTCATTGATTATTAACAGGTGCCGTTATTTGATCAAATGGATGAGAGGACGCTAGATGCAATATGCGAGAGGCTAAAGCCAGCATTGTGCACTGAGGGGACCTATCTTGTTCGTGAGGGTGATCCTGTGAATGAGATGCTCTTCATAATTCGAGGTCATCTTGATTCTTACACCACCAACGGAGGCCGTGTTGGGTTCTTCAACTCGTGCCTCATTGGGCCAGGTGATTTCTGTGGCGAGGAACTATTAACTTGGGCCTTGGATCCACGGCCCAGTGTGATACTTCCTTCATCAACTCGAACAGTTAAGGCCATCTCAGAAGTAGAGGCCTTTGCACTCATAGCCGAAGACTTAAAGTTTGTTGCATCTCAATTTAGAAGATTGCACACTAAACAACTTAGACATAAATTCAGGTTTTACTCACACCAATGGAGAACATGGGCTGCTTGTTTCATTCAAGTTGCATGGAGAAGGCATAAGAAAAGGAAAGAAGCTTCTCAGCTTAGGGAGAGAGAGAGGGAGAATGTGCAAGTTGCTGAGCCTCAAACACCAAGTTCAGGGTCAGGCTTTGTTGGGTATGGAAGGAGTGGTAGGAAAGGTGTTAATATGCATTCTGGGACTGCTTCTTCTGGAGTAGTTAGCTCTTTGCTGAAGCCAGCAGAACCCGATTTTTCTGTTGATGAATAATGCATGAATGTAGATTCTTAACCTAGTCTTGGGGTCATGTGTATTGTTTTTATTATTTGTTCATGTAAATTATAGATAGAATTTTTTGTTACAAATTAAGTAACTCTACTTAATTGGTTAAATTGCATTTTGAAAAATGTTTTGTAGACAATTGAGAAAGTGTTACGCTATTAGAGAGAAAGAAATAAGTAAAAGAAAGAGAAGTGACAAATGTGATAAGTGATATTGAAAGATAAAAAGAGCTATATAAAAATATAAGAGAGATATTAAGATAGCATTTACGTACTTATAAATTATAACTCGTATAGTTTTATCCTCATATTTTACTCTCTGTAATTTTAGTTTTCTTTATTTCAATTATAGGAATTGCACTTTTTCAAGCCACTTTTTTTAAAGAAAACAAGTGAGCCGATGAACTGGCCTGTTTGGCCTGCATGCAAAAGAATTGGTAGGATTTGCATATTTTTAACTTGAAAATGACTTATCTCAGCCTAACCTAACTTGAAAATATATTGACTCATAATGCATATACGCAGGGGCAACTCGAATTGACTACCCTACAAGAAACCTCCACGCATTTGTTTTTTATATGCAAGTTGTCATATAAGCTTTCGCATTGGTTCTTCTCATGGTTTGAGTTCCAAATAGCTTTACTTTCAAATGATTGAGTCCATTATTTTCAGAGCCATGGTTTAGTAAGAGGTAAAAAGGTTAAATTTGCTTGGCAGCACTTTTCGCACTCAGAGATGTTACTTTAAAACAATAAAAGCAAACATAACTATCTTTTGGCTAACTTTAGGAGCCATGAGTTTCACTGTTCGTTAGGCTATCGAGCAAATTAAAGTAAAGGAGTAATTTTGTGAAAAGTTGAAGTTTTCAGTTAACCTATGATCTTCCTAGCTTAGTTTATGATTGCTTTATGTAATATGATTTTATTCATCTCAATTCTTAACACTGTATTCAAAAGTCATAAGGTTTAATCAAAAAATGAATCATTTATTATATTAAAATTACAAAGAGTTAATTGTACCATTCTAGCTATTTGCTAGTTAGTTGTAAGAGATTTCCAGAGTTGTAAGAGATTTCCAGATATAGTTTAGCTTTGGCAATTATACATTAAATATGACTTTTCTCCATGTGCACATATTTTCTACCTGATATAATAATATTTTTTGAGTTGAATGAATGTTCGTTTTCTCTCCCGATTTTGCTCACTTAAATTAAAAAGTGTGATAAACACTTTTGTAATAAATTATTATTATTTGTTAAAATCCATTCTTAAAAATCAGATTGATACTTTTTTGTATAATATTCGTGCTTGTTATTGTTATAAAGGTTTTCTAGAAAAAAAAAGGGAATGATTTATTAAAAGTGGCAATCATTTATATTTCATTCTGCTATTTTGTTGTTTTGTGAATTGTGTAGTTCTTTTCATACCAACAAATGGATTCATGGTGTATGCCACCAACAATACCCGACTCTTTATGTTTGCATGCATATAGAGTTTGGTTGGGCAAAATCATGAATGAGTGTGTCCACCAAAACACTCATCATGTGCATCCCACAAAGATATAGTGCCACGTGAAATTCATTTGTGAAACTTTAGGATAAAACTTAAATATAATATTTTAAGTATTTTTATTATTTATTTAATTATAATTATGATTTTATATTAAAAATCAGCGTAAAAAAATTAATATTGATATTTATTATATTATCTACCCAAGTAATATTCTAATTTTAATTAAAAATAGCACTCAAAACATTTAAGATAATGTCTCTAAGTTTTGTATACAATTTTATACAGTAAGAAGGAAACGCGAGCACAACAGAAATGAATGAGGATAATAATTCGATGCCAATATATTACTACCCAGCTTCTTCAGTGCTCTTATATAAACCTAATCATGTTTTTTCAATTATATAAATTTTGAAAAAGAAAAGAAGAGAAAAGCATGTGCATTTATTCTAACCTTGATTTTTATGTGCCAAAAGTTTTTTTCTTCAAAAAAAATAAAAGAAAAACATTTGTATGCTTTGTTTAAAACAAGATAAATAGGGAGATTAGCTTTTATACCCTTAACCTCAAACCCTTCAAAATTCTTTACAAATGCATGAAGTCTTGCAATGTTTGAAATATAAATAAAAATCTAAACAGAGACATTATTATTATTTTTTTGTGGTTTATAAGAGGAACAGAGGGGGACGCCAATAATAATTATCTGCAGCGCCTTAAGGGCCTTTTCACTTTAATGGGCCATTTGTCTTCTCAATTATATGCAAACCCACTCAACATTTTCCTCTATAATGTAATTTGCTTTGGACCCACTTTGAATATTGACCTGCCTATTGGTTTCAACTGAGATTGCATGTTGACCAAACAAAAAACTCAGATTGCATGACATTTTTCGTTATCCCACGTATGATTAATTTTTAAAAAGTAATTTAAAGTGAAACTCAGCTTAAAATAAATAAGGATATATTTATTTTAAATTTTAATAAATTAAAATTATGACATATTTTAAATTAAATAATACTATACATCTTATTTATTTTATTTAAAACATTTTCTTAAAAATAATTTTACCTAAGTATACGTACATCAACGGGTGATCACTTTAAAATAATATATAGTTATATTTTATATATACAATATATTAAATTCAAACTTATTAAGAGCCAATAAAATAAATCTAAAATGACTTTGTCTAATAAAATATAAAGTTTGAATTCTAAATTTTAAATTCGAAATAAAATTATATTTTTTAGTATATCCCGTTGAGTTTGATATACATCAAGGAAGTTCAAATTTTACTCCTTTGAAGATTAGTTTTACTAATTTAAATTAAATTAATTTTTTTAATTCAAATTGACAAAAATGGTCGCCCACAATGGACTCTAAATAAACCCTGTTTTATCAGCTCTAAACCCATTACAGTTTAAACAAACGAACAAAAACACTAAATATAGTAATATCCTCAGGCATCTTAATAATTCCATGGAGCTTAGCCGGTGTAGTTTTTTTTCCCCCATTATTATATTGAATTTTTTTCAAATTTTATTTTTCATATTTTTATATTGAAATATATTGTCTACTAAGTATATATACTCATGTTGAGTCGAGTAGAATTATTCTGAGTGATTTTATTTTATTTAAGATAATAAAATACTTATTATTAATAATAAACATTATTTTTAAAAAATTTATTAAATTTAAAGAATAATTTAATAAATATTTAATTTTTTATTTAACAATTATTTTAATTTAATAATAAACACGTGAGACATGAAAAATTCTCTAGGTTAAACTTTAAAGCCACATTCATTGTATAAATGCATGTGAACTTTATCATTGACAATGAGCAATGACTTAACCGGCAGGTTAGGGAAGGAAATAGAGCAGAAAATAACGAGAAAGAAAAAAACAAGAGTTGTTAACCTAAGACTCTGTTGTCATAGAATAAATCCATCCTTAAAGCTCGCCAGTGATCCCAGGTGTCCTTCCATTCGTAACCAAATTAAGATGAAGAAAACAATCAATATTGTCCATTAATTTGGATTTTTTTTTCTGCTTAAATGATTTAAAACATTAAGTCATTTAATTAATAATACAATTGGTTTTGTTTTGTTTTCAATGCACTCGTCACATGATTGCTTCTTTACCGCTTGGAAAGTTCAATTAAAACGTATATATTCAATTCAACTAATTTGGCTTCCCTCCATTCCCAGTGCATTTCTATTCCTTTCAATAAACATGATATTGGTAAAATTTCCAAAGGGTGATCTTCAAGAAACTTAAGAGCCATAAACCGTTAAACACCCAAAGTTTTATAATATATTCTTATAAGATTTCAGCTATCATTTTAAAGGTGATAAATTAAGCCTGATCTATTTTTAATTAATATGATATAAATGCTTATTTAATTTTAATGTTAACCCATATGTAGATGTAAAAGAATATCCCTTTACAAACTCCAAATGCTTCTTCTTCCATTGTGGAAGTGCGTCCACAGCTGTCAAAATTGAAAAAAACATCATAGTAACAAAACCCAGAGACACCACCAAGAAAAAGAACAATGATAGCAGCCAGACAACAACCTCTAAGTGGCAAACCATTTTGGCCTCAACGGAAGCTGACTCACCTAAATGTTATCATAAATCAAAACTTTCAACACTCTGCGCCCAACCTTACACGATGCTTTATTGGATTGTACATTTGCACTCACTTTAATAAGTAACACCCAATTTCATCAAACCATTTTCAATTTGGTGCATATGCGCTCTACTTGCTCCAAAACACATTCCATCAGTTGACAAAAAAGTTTCTATCATCATAATTAGCAGTTATTTGTACATTGTCAGCGTCTATGCAATCGAATGCAACACAATGTTCAGATCCGGCAACAACTAACAATTTGATCCCCAGTTATTATTACCTTTTAATTACTTTCTATGTCACATCATTATTTTTTGTTTTCCCTTAAAAAATATAATAACCATGTCAGGTATATAGCAGCGTGTTAAGTTAAGTATTTGAGAATAATTAAAAACAAAATACATGTTTCTCGTGTCTCTCAAATATATCCTAGATCCCATGAGGATCCTTTTGATTGTCTATTTTGAGTATTGGCTGAAAATCTATCTTTTCCATGTTTTGCAACCTCACGTATAAGGTTTTTTTTTAAGTATTACATTGAATAAAATAAGAAGTTTAATGTGATATTGAAGAGTTTTTATTTATTTATTTAATGAATTGGTGTTTTAGGTAATTGGTATTTTTTAGTGAGAAGTGTGTTAGAAAAATATTATCTACTATCAATTTTATTAGGGTGCAATGTGTCGAGTAATAACAGGTGAATAAAGTTGTCAAAGATATGTACATATTATAGAATATCATGAGATGATTCAGTGTCCATAGTGCAGTAACAAGAAGATCTAGCTGTTAAATATGTGGTATATTTTGTGCAGTAGGATTGGACAAAATCCGACCTTAGTCACGC